TTTAAAATTGCATGTTTAACTGAGCAATCAGCAATTTTTATTAATGGTTAACATGTTATATCAGGTCTTTAAATACCATATTTTACAACATCATTGATGATACTGATATATTTCATGTTATAGTTGGATAATATATGATTCTAACAATGTCACTGATTGTTTTCTATTTTATGTTTCAGATGGAGTTTTACTTCAGTGATTCAAATCTACACAAGGACAGATTCCTTAAGAAATCCATAGATGAAACATCAGATGGCTGTAAGTACATGTTTCATACTATTATAACTTTACAAGTATACTTTAGTTACAAGAAAATTATGACTTGTTTATGTTATCTTTTATATAAGAATGATGTTATATTTTATTTAAGAATGTTAAATGATGTATTTGGGCTGTCTGAAATTGGCATCTCAATTATAATATATATATGTAATGTTAAGATCTTATCATGATGATTAATTTGATAGAGTGATGTTTTTAAATTTTTAAAACATTTAGATTGTATATAGTTTGATAATTTTACAATATAATTTTCAAGTTATACATTAAACATAAAATCCTTTAAACAATTCTTATCAATAATGCCTACTGTTGTTTTTTTTTTAATGAAAAAGTACCTTGTTACTAAGGAATGATTTGCTGGAAAGTTTCATTCCATTTGTAAAAAAATAACTTTATTTTTTGTGTCTTAAGTAATGCCATCACTTTAAATATTTTATGTCTACTTGCCAGCTTTACTGGTGGCAGAAGACTTCAGGTGCCCCGCAGTGCATAAGTTCAGGCACAGGCAGGCACCTGAGTAGAACCATCAAAGCTGGTGGGATTCAAACCCAGTGGTAAGGGGCAAGTGGTTTGATGGTTTGAAGTCAACAACCTTAACCACTGGATCACAGATTCCCCCAGCTAATATTTAATATTTATTATGATTTTCTTTTTCAGACCATAAATGTATCATTTCCATATGCTTATTTTTTTCAGATTGATATACATGTACATAAAATTAATCTTTCTTTTGTTTTCAGATATAGGACTTGATGTTTTCCTTACATTTAACAAGATAAAGAAGTTAACAACCAAGGCAGAAGTAATAGCAGATGCTATACAAGAAAAATCTAATTCTTTACAGGTAGGCTTACTTTATATATAATTCTAATTGCTTTTAGACTGATTCCACCCTTAATGTTGAAAGAAACATTGAGCACTCTTGCATAATACTATAAACTGATTAAATGATGCAAAATAGCATTTTTCTAACATTAAAAAGTAAGAATTACAGCTTTTATTGAATTTCAGTTGTCTTTTAATTTAAAAGTTATATATATTTGTTGTGGTAACTGTCTTTTAATTTAAAGGTTATATATATTTGTTGTGGTAACTGTTTTGAAATGTTTGTTTACTTTTGCATAATTTTAGCTAAATCCAGAAAAGACACATGTTAAAAGAGTGACTCCATATCAGGAACCCAAGAATGTGGATGAAAGAACTGTCTATGTGGTAAGTAATATCTTTTGAACATATCAATTTTTTTTCCTTAACCTTTCAGGCATTTTTTGGGTTATTTTATAGCTGATATTTGGTCATATTCCCAATTGAAAATACAAATGTAGTATATTATTTTCCCAATCCACAGGAAATAATTCCCAATTGAAAGTTACAAAAGAATATATTGTATAAAAATTCCTAAAATCTTTGAAAATAAGGGCTTCTTCGTTGTTACAGTGCTTAAATGTTTGAAGATGCCATCCTAGACAGTGATTGTTTGCATAGTGATTGTTTGCATTCATTTAATCACTGAAAAATTTCTGTGATGCATTTTTTTCAAAACTTCAAAACATTTCTGAAATTCCCAATTCCATGGGTATGGGTCATATGCCCAAAATCCTGAAAAATAATTCCTGATTTTGAAATGTTTACATTGTATAATTGGCTTGTCTTTTTTGTCCTGCTTTGAATTTAGAGCTGACCATTGTATGAATGGATAATTTTAATGTGAATTCTAAAATTAAGCACCCAAAATATTAGGTCTGGTCCGAGGCACAGATATGCCAGCTGGACTTAAAAACCAACCAGAAAAAAAATACTGTGACATCATGGCTGCAGATATTTGAAGGGTTAATTCAGTTTGGGAGATAGATACATTGAATTATGTGTATGTTGTTGTTAGCTCACCTGTCACAAAGTGACAGGGTGAGCTTTTGTGATCACTTTTCGTCCGGCGTCCGTCCGTCGTCCGTCCGTCCGGCGTCCGTAAACTTTTACTTTAAATGACATCTCCTCATAAACCACTAGGCCAATTTCATCCAAACTTCACAGGAATGTTCCTTTGGTGGTCACCTTTAAAAATTGTTCAAAGAATTTAATTCCATGCAGAACTCTGGTTGCCATGGCAACTGAAAGAAAAAACTTTAAATATCTTCTTTTAAAAAACCCTAAGAGCTAGAGCTTAGATATTTGGCATGAAACATCTTCTAGTGAGTGTCTACCAAGTTTGTTCAAATAAAAGCCCTGGGGTCAAAATTGGCCCCGCCCCAGGGGGTCATTGATTTTCCCTATATGCATATAGTAAAAACTTAAAAAATCTTCTTTTAAAGAACTCAAAGAGCTAGAGCTAAGATATTTAGCATCATACATGTTCTAATAGGTGTCTACCAAGTTTGTTCAAATAAAAGCCCTGGGGTCAAAATTGGCCCGCTCGGGGTCATTGATTTTCCTTATATGTGTATAGCAAAAACTTAAAAAATCTTCTTTGAAAAAACCAAAATAGCTAGAGTTTAGATATTAAGCATGAAACATCTTCTAGTAAGTGTCTACAAAGTTTGTTCAAATAAAAGCCCTGGGGTCAAAACTGGCCCCGCCCCAGGGGTGTCATTGTTTTTAACTATATGTGTATAGTAAAAACTTAAAAAAATCTTCTTTTAAAAAGCCCAATGAGCTAGAGCTTAGATATTAAGCATGAAACATCTTCTTATAGGTGTCTACCAAGTTTGTTCAAATAAAAGCCCTGGGGTCAAAATTGTCCCCGCCCCAGGGGGTCATTGATTTTCCCTGTATGCATATAGTAAAAACTTAAAAAATCTTCTTTTAAAGAACTCAAAGAGCTAGAGCTAAGATATTTAGCATCAAACATGTTCTAATAGGTGTCTACCAAGTTTGTTCAAATAAAAGCCCTGGGGTCAAAATTGGCCCCGCTCCGGGGGTCATTGATTTTCCTTATATGTGTATAGCAAAAACTTAAAAAATCTTCTTTGAGAAAACCCAAATAGCTAGAGTTTAGATATTAAGCATGAAACATCTTCTAGTGAGTGTTTACAAAGTTTGTTCAAATAAAAGCCCTGGGGTCAAAATTGGCCCCGCCCCGGTGGTCATTGATTTTCCTTATATGTGTATAGCAAAAACTTAATATCTTCTTTGAAAAAACCCAAACAGCTAGAGTTTAGATATTAAGCATGAAACATCTTCTAGTTAGTGTCTACAAAGTTTGTTCAAATAAAAGCCCTGGGGTTAAAACTGGCCCCGCCCCAGGGGTGTCATTGTTTTTAACTATATGTGTATAGTAAAAACTTTAAAAAAATCTTCTTTTAAAAAGCCCAATGAGCTAGAGCTTAGATGTTTAGCATGAAACATCTTCTTATGGGTGTGTGTGTGTGGGGGGGGGGGCTATATACAGGTGAGCGACCTCAGGGCCATCATGGCCCTCTTGTTTTTTTTTTTTTTGCTAAATATAGAAGATTGATAATATGTAACATTTTTAATGAACTTGAGAATGAGCTGTAATAATATGAATTTTCATATGGGAAAAAAATGTGTATTCATAAAACAAACGGTATAGGATTTGCTGCTAACATATTTAATAGAAACCATTTGTGTTACACTTCTTTTGAAAAAGTCATATCTTCTATGTTAAAAAAGTTACACAAACTTATTAAAAGTGAAACATCATTAACCTTTTATTATAGGAATGTATACCAAATTATGCTGACCATGAGTGGGTGAGAAAGTTGTTCTCTGCTTGTGGAAAGGTATCATATGTCAGTCTACCTAGATATCCTAGCACTGGGGATCCTAAAGGGTTTGGTTTTGTCGAGTTTGAGACAGAGGAGGGGGCACAGGCTGCTTGTCAGGTAACTTGTTGCTTTTTCTTTCTAAAAAAAAAACAAATGTACAAAACAGTCAAATTGAAAATGTTGCAGACTCGGTTTGACTGAGCCTGTTCATGGACAGTATTGGTAAGTGAAAGCAAAAATGTTACTAACATTTGATAACTATAAATATTTGCCTTCATTTAATAATTTTACAGATATAACCATTAATTCTTTGATTTCAAATTTTGAAAAAAAAACCAAAGTACTATTGAATTGTTTATCTTTAAGGAGCTGAACAACCCACCTGCAGATTTTACCCATAAAGCTGGAATGTTTCCTAAAACAAGACACCAGCTTGATGCGATCAAAAAAAAGTTGCCAGAAGAACAAATCAAACGTAACCTTTTGCTTCTTTTCTATAAATATGATTAAAATCTTGTAACAAGAATTTTATAAAATGTTATAGGCTTTTATTCTATCACCTAATATCCTCAAGTGACCAGTTTCGACGCCCTTAAGGATTGTTTTGTATGCGCCTATAAAAACCATGTGATTGTATTGTATAAAATTATTAAAAAATCTCTAACCTTTATGAAATGGGCAAATTTAAGCTGTTTTTCCAGCTATTTCTTTTCACAAACAGACCTACTTTCACTTCTCCAGGAGCGGCCATTGTTATTGAGAGTGCCCTAAAACGACGCCATTGATTGGCTAATTTAATGACACACTAGAGGAGACTGTACACCATAATACTTATACTTACGTTGTTCACCAATATCAAGAGCATAGACCTGCAAAGTATCACAAGTGAAAAATGGTTTATCTATTCTTTATTAGCATAAATATATGTGGTAAATGCTATTGTTGTGTTTTTAAAGTGGTTTGGATGGTTGTCCTAGTCTGTTTGACCTCCTCTGCTGAAAAAATAGAGGTTGGAAAACAGCACCATTACTTTCCAACATATCCTATTTATTTCTAATTAATATTCATTCATCGATTTATAACTGTAAAAAAATCTACAACAGGTACAGGTTGCTTTAGGGTGAAAAAATACACCCAAAACAACACTATTGGGTAATATTACTGCCACATGACCTTAGAACAAAGAAAATGAGGTCAGCAAACCAGGAGGTATTTTCCAGCCCATTTTTGCTAAAAAAGTAGGACAAAGTAAATTGACGAGCCAAATTGCATTAGTGAAAACCTACAAAAATCTCTTGAATAAAGTATAACATGCTAAACCTTACCTTTCAGTGCCTTACTTACTACATAGTTTTACCTAGCTAAAGAGAGGAATCACCTTTTGCTATAGCGTAGTACAGTAATGACATAAGCGGCCGCTTATATCAATTGTGAGGCTAAATAAAAATGGCGTCGAAATAGGGCAGCATAAAAACAGGTCACTCGACGACATATTTTATCAAATGTGACTAATAGGAAAATATGTCAGAAGAAAAATGTTGTCTGAGATATCTAAAAATAACCCTACAAATGTTTACATTGGTTTGATGTATTTTCTTCTTTTGTGTTTTTTTTATGCTCATGTGTTGAAAAGGCATTTTGTTTTTGTCCTGTTTTTGTCTGTCTTTCTATTCAGTTGTAAAATATTGCCTTTATACTAATTTATTAACAGATTTTGGATGGGTTCGTTAGTATTTTTATATATATTTTTCTTTCACACACAACCTGTTATTTGTTATTACAGAGACTGAAGAAAAAGTGAAAGATCTCATTTCCACACACAGTGAAGAGCTGGCTGATATTGCTGAGGAACCTGAAGACCCATTTAAAGACTCTGAAAAATCTCAAGACATTGAACCAAAATTGAAAAGACGTAGAACAAACAGTGAGAGTGATGGTGCAGATATAAGTCCTACAAAACGCAAAAAATCAAATGACGTCACTCCTGACACTCCTGCAGATAATTCAGAGGATAAAATTGCAAGTGGTAAGAAGAAATCTCGTAAACGAAAAAGTAGGTCAAAAACTGCTGACTCAGAAGAGCCTAAAGTTGAAAGTGATTTAGATAATAAAAGTGGTGACATTATTCCAGAAAAGAAATCAAAATTAGCTGAAGTTAGTGAAAGTGTTGAAAAGGGAGAAAAGGAAATAAAGACAGAAAGTAGTGCAGAGTCAAAGCAAAACAAAGAAAACTCGTCACAGAAAAAGAAGAGATTCAGAAGAAAGAAAGACAAAAAAGAGAAAGAGTTTCCAGAACTAAGAGTGCTTCCTAAGTAATTATTGATTACTTTGCTGTATATTTCATATGAAATACTAATTGCCTTCAATAGTTTAATCAACATGAAAAACAAACAAACAAATCAATAGTTTTCAATGACATTTTTAGCTCACCAGAACCGAAGGTTCTGGGTGAGCTATTAGTATCAAAGGGGGATCCTCTGGCGTCCGTTGTCATGTGGCAACAATCATCTTCTCTGAAACTAATGGGCAGATTTACCTCAAATTTGGCCTGTAGCATCCTTGTGACAGTCACACTAAAATTTGCTCATGCCATTTCAATTGGCCCCTTTAAGAGGTCAACAGAGCTAAAAAAAGAAACACCTTTCAACTTTCTAATTTGATTGGCCCCTTTTAGGGGCTGCTAAAGCTAAAAGTAGAAAAGCCTTTGAACATCATCTCCTTCTGAAATAACTGATGGATGATCACCAAATTATTTTACCGTAGCATTCTAAGGTAGTGTTTTGTCAAGTTTGCTCATCCTAATTTGATTGGCCCCTTTTAGGGGCCGCTTAAGTTAAAAATAGATAAACCTTTAAACGTCTGCTTCTTATGCGTCATAACTTTCTTATCTTTTAAGGGATTTTGTAAATACTTGCCACAATTGCTCACAATAATGAGAAGATGTGTCATGCGCAAAATCGGTCACCTACCTCCAAAGTCAAGGTCACACTTGGAGGTCAAAGATTAACATAGTCTGTTACAGGGTATATTTCGTGTCCGGTCCATAACTTTGTCATTTATCAAAGTAATTTAAAATTACTTGGCACAAATGTTTGTTATAATAAGACGATGTATCATGCGCAACAATCAGACCCCTACCTCCAAGGTCAAGGTCGCACTTGCTCACATTAGGTCAACATTGTCTATTTGAGGGTATATGTCGTGTCCGGTCTATAACTTTCTTATCTTTGAATACTTGCCACAATTGTTCACAATAATGAGATGATGTGTCATGCGTAACAATCGGTCACCTACCTCCAAGGTCAAGGTCACACTTGGAGGTTAAATATTAATATAGTCTGTTATAAGGTATATTTTGTGTTTGGTTCATAACTTTTTCATGTATCAAAGGATTTTGAAAATACTTAGCACAAATTGTCACTATAATAAGACAATGTGTCATGCGCAACACCTACATCCCTACCTCCAAGGTCAAGGTCACATTTCGAGGTCAAAAATTAACATTGTCTGTTAAAGGGTATATATTGTGTCCGATCTAGAACTTCCTCATAGTTCAAGGGATTTTGAAATAACTTGGCACAAATAGTCACAATAATAAGAAGATATGTCAAGTACAACACCTGCACCCCTACCTCCAAGGTCAAGGTCACACTTAGAGGTCAAAAGTTAACAGAGTCTGTTATATGGTATACTTTGTGTCCTGTCCATAACTTCTTCATAGATCAAGGGATTTTGAAAATACTTGGAATAAATAGTCACAATGATAAGATGATATGTCATGTGTAACACCAGTGTCCCTACCTCCAAGGTCAAGGTCACATGTAGAGGTCAAAGATTTACATAGTCTGTTTTATAGGGTATATTTTTTGTCCAGGCCATTACTTTTTCATAGATCAAGGGATTTTAAAAATACTTTGCATAAATAATCACAATATTAAGACAATATGTCTGGTCCAAATCATGGGTCCCTACCTCCAAGGTCACACTAAGAGGTCAAAGATTAACATAGTCTGTTAGAGGGTATATTTTGTGTCCCATCTATATCTTCTTCATAGTTCAAGGGATTTTGAAAATAGTTACAATAATAAGACGATATGTTATGAACAACACCCGGACCCCTACCTCCAAGGTCAAGGTCACACTAAGAGGTCAAAGCTTAACATTCATTTTATTTCTTTAATAAATTAATTGTTCAATCTTTTGAAATACAGTAAATTCTCTCTATTAAGACCACTAACGGGACTGACTCAAAGTGGTCTTAATAGTGAACTGGTCTTAATAGTGAATAAGTCACTTTAACAGCTTAACTTAATGTATACCTTGAATAGTTTTATGCGCATGGTAAATGTACTTAATTAAATGGCTTTTACCCTCCTTTTCACTTTCATTTATAAATTTAACTTTCTCTTTTAAATTTAATTTTTTTCTTTTTCTTTTTTCCATGTTTTTGTTTTTTGACAGGCTAAGATAGCAATAATAGAAATGCAGACTAAAGAAATAATGAGGTTCATTTTTTTTCAAGTTATGGTATACACTTTAAGGTGCCTAATCTCATTTACTCAATTCTATTATATTCACCTAGAACAACAAATGAAAAAGAATTAAATCTTTGATCTTAAGAAATTTGCACTTCTCATTATGTTTTATCTAAATAAAGCACACACAAACTGATAATTTGGTGTAATTAGCAATTTTTACCATACTTGCTATAAATTGTGATGCACAACAAACAATTTTAAATGCTATTAACCTGTTTATTACATCCTAATAACGCCGACAAATTAATCGTTTCTCACACTATAGCTGCTTAGATTAATTAGCCAGAAGTGGTTTAAACTGATCATGTTGACGCTTGAATGCTAAAGATACATCGTAAAGCAAGCGTCTATAATCAATCGATATATATTGATGACCTCATTTGACCCGGTGTATTTGTTTACTACAACAATTAATGGGGGCAATAAACACCAAGTGATGTATGGCCATTATGTTGCATGGTCGTAATACAGGTTAATGTTTTGATAAGAAATACACACAAATGTCTGACAGAAGTGGTCGTTATGCCGGATTAGAGGCGTAGTCGGTATAATGGTCATTTTTCTCAATGAATAAAGAAGGCTATTATTTTGTACTTTTAAAAAGTGCCCGTAATAGCAGCGTGGTCCTATTTGTGGCGTGGTCGTTAGGTGGCATTTTACTGTAGCACAATTTTATGCTTCATATAAAACTTCCTCGAGGCGGGGGACATTAGTAACTCTGTTACAAATTCTTGTGTTTATATTACTTTCGTCAGTGTTGTAGTAACATATTTCATGATTACTTTTCTAGGAAAGAATGGTTAGACCTAAGAGATGAATATTTACAGTTACAGAAAACTAGTATGGCATTATTGAAGAAAACATTGGGAGAATATGCAGACAATAGCAAAACAGGTTTAAAAATTTTCCTTCTCTTAGAAAGACCTTTATTAGTCCCCTACCGGTTTAACCGGAGGGGACTTTAGGTTTACCCTCCGTGTCCGTCTGTCTGTCAGTCCGTCCGTCCACAAAACTGGATCCCGCGATAACGCAAAAAGTACTGAAAATATTTTTATGAAACTTGATATATGGATAGATGGCAGTATGGAGATTATGCACGTCTTTTTTTTTTCTTCCTATGTTGAAAATTCTGGTTGCTATGGCAACAAATAGTCTGAAAATATGGCAAATTTAACACATAAACTGGATCCAGTGATAACTCAAAAAGTACTGAAAATATTTTTATGAAACTTGAAATATGGGTAGATGGCAGTCTGGAGATTATGCACATAACTTTTTTATTTCCCAATGTATCTACTTCAAACTTCATATATATGGTTTTTATTATCACTCAACATTTTTGAGAAGGTTAAATACTCTAGCAAGACTATTTCCAGAATTATGTCCCCCTTGAACTTAGATTTTTTTCGAGAAATTGGTATTTTTCACTCCAACTTCTTCATTCCTTATAGGATTTACTTTAAAATCCCACATCGTAATAATATGACAAGGTTGTATAAACATAATTTCCTTACTAGGCAGGGAAACTTAACACATTACTGTGATATAGACAAACTTAGAACTCAAAAGATTTAAGTTCATTCATGTCATTCATTCGTTGGTAAAATTGAATGGCCAATGGCCCGTCAGAATGTTGCTGGGGTTCAAACCGGTAGGGGACTTATGGATTGCTTGCAATACTATGATAATTGCTTGTTTTTAATTGTTTACCATTCCATTTTTGTCATGTTATTTTATCACATACCCGTGCCACTTTTGTGACTGTAAAAGTGGTATTGCATGGCAGTGTATATATTTTTATGTAACAACATTTGCATAATGCAAAAATAGTGAAAAGACAAGCTGAATGTTAGCATTGCACTACAGGCATATCAATGAAAAAAGATTCTTTTTCACTTCAAACAGTCTATATTTTTGGTATGTGATAAATAGAATATTAAATTTGTATAGATTCATTGCTGAATTTATTGAACTTGTTGAATAATATGATATTTTGCTTGCCAGAGACTCGTATAATACGATTTTATTCGACTTGCTTAATAAATTCTGTATTGAACCTACACTCAGAAATTGTCTTAGTGATGTATTGGAATCATTTCCAAATGGAATGTATTGAAGAGGTATTTCTATATCTGTAATACAGATACAAACCCCATCTGCTCATTCATTACACATTTATGATAATACATGATGCATGATAATAATGTAAATATATAAACGCTCTACTGTTAACTTGGATAGATATTCAAGCACAGGGTTTTACGGGACGCAGAATTCTGCGTCCCTATACGCATAAATTTTGACATGTACGCATATACGTTATCCAATTGCGTCCAAGTGTACGCACAAAAATAATCCTAGACAATAGAAATTATTGTTTCTGACCCGACATGATTTTATCTCTTTCTTCTCGAAGCTCACGAAATTCCATTTAAATCTAATACAGCATGCAGAAAATGCTTGCATTTGTTTATTTCGGAAGTTTAACATAATTGAAATCTACTGCGCATGCTCTTTGCAAGTGCCCGCTGCAGAAACTAATGACGTTTATCGTGCAAGCTACAGTAACTGATGACGTTTACCGTAAAATCTATTTTAGGTAGCTGTTTTTGGTTTTTCTGTTGCTATATTTAGACGGACTATTTATAACAAGCAATTACTATTGGTTAGCGTATCCAATGTCGATCTACCAGTTCGGCGAATGTATTTTGTACATGAACGGCAATAATAAAAAAGCAGTGCTTTTTGCAAACTTTCACAGTGTTAAAGAAATTAAGTCACTGGGTATGTTATTATCATTGGTGTTATAAATATAATGGTTTCGGCGAACTTAACTTATGAGGAGGTGCAAAAGCGGTTTCGTCGGCCTTTTGTTATATGATATTTTTAAAAACGCAACATATTTAGCTGACTGGTCTGTAAAGATATCTATTGTGTGTTCACTAGTTCAGCTAAAATATTTACAAATAGATCAATGCAAATTTTCAGTCTGTTGGTGTAATCACCTTATCAATAACAAAATATGCTACTAAAACTTGACATTCCAGCCACACAAAGACTTATAAGCCTTGGAAATAGCACATGATATTATTGTAAAGGGCTATAAAAAAACCTAGTGATAAAAGATATTGAAATCATATACTTCTTATGAAAACAGTACAATATACATGCATATTTCTCACAGGGTAAATAAATGATTTTAAGCAAAATAGAGAGGTCTTCATAGTCTTTTATAGTGAATATAATTTTGGACCCCTAAAATTCAGGCCTGGACCCCTACTTTTCTAGGCTGTGCATCCACTGGACCCCTAAAATTTCTAAGAGATGTAAAACCCTGCAAGCACATTTTTATTGTACAAAAATACATGTATATTTGCAGATGAAGTAAAGAAACCAGAGAGGAAAGAGATAGAGTTTATTGCTGATGTTGTTGTTAAAGTGACCTCTGAGAATCCCATGAAGAGAAAAAATCTAAAGGTGTATATTCTTTCTTTATAGAAAAATAAAGTGAATTTAAATTTGTTGATTTATGCTATATACAAATTTGATTATATTATTGATAAAAACATGAAGTTAAGGTTGCTGATTTCTATTTTATTAATCAGGTTTTCCAAAGGAAAAAACTGATTGTAAGTTTAGTGTATTTTTATGGTCAGACAGTTTGACGTAAACAATCAGATTGCAATAATATATGTTTTGAAAACTATGATTTTATCTGCACTGTATAAAGCTAAGAAGTTAAGAAGTTGGTACATTCATATACTTTACAGATTCTGAGAACTTTAAATTAAGAATATTATGACAGCATAACACTAATTTCTCAATTTCATCATATTGAAAAACGTTTTTATACACTTTTGAAGGAAACTTTAATTTTGCTTAAATTTACTTTGTGATTTAATTAATTTAGGTTGACCTAGGTGACGGATATAAGATAGCTTACATTGATGTTAAAGATGATCAGACAGAAGGGTATATACGATGTGAAAATGCCGAGTCAGCTAAACAAATTAGTGACGCTAATGTGTCAGGATATATGTTTACTACTGTGGCAGGTTAGTTAACTTTAATTATGCTAGATTTTTGCTATGGACTTGTCTTGTTTTAAGTTCTTAATAGTCAGTTTTTTAGTTTAAGAAATTTCAATTTCAAAATAATATGTAATTGAACGCCCAGTAGTATCAGAATGCATGGATGTGTGGGATGGCTTTGCTGTATACTAGTGGCATAGATAAGTTATTGTTGCTTGCCCACTAAGGAAAAATACTTATATCAACAAATAAATTTTATGTAACATACTTTGAAAATTCAATAATAAACAAGTAATAGCCATCGATAAAATGTTCAAAATTAGCACGAAAATTTGTCACAGAGCTTTTATCAGTTTGCTGGTATAAGATGAATTTAGGATATTTAGATGTGTATTTAAGGTGTATCTAAAAATCTGTTGAATTTCCAGACTGGCTAGATTTCAAGTTGTTTTTGACTGTTAGAAAATGTTGGCTTATTTTCAAGACAGGCTTATTATCAGATTATCAGGGTATTTTGATTAGCTGATGCCACTTTCAGGTTAATTGCATTGGTACAGCTTGAAAAAATCTTCATGAAATCTAGCTTCGCTATCCATTTTAAAGGAGAAAGTCAAAAACTGTTACTATGTATGTGGTCTTTAGTAATAAAGTATTTTCCTGTTTTATAATCGATATCTTTATTTCTGTTTCAGTTAAAAAAAATCACACTTTTCAGTTGAAATAAATTTATTATGATTGCAGTATCTGAATTGAATACGTGTACCTTTAATTTTATGAGATAACAAGATTAATTCATTAAATCAATAAAATGAAAGAATGAAGAAAATTCTGTAAATAGTATTGTTACATGTTTTTTCATCAGTTCGAATAGAAATAGGATCAGCAATTTTCCCTGTTACATATTGAAATTAACCTCATTCTAAACCTTTTTTGCAAAGTTGAAACAACATAATGTTCAGAAATTTATCATTGTATAGATAGTGCATAAAAAAGATAATTTTTGTGTTTGTAGGGGAGGATGAGAAAAAATACTGGGATAAACTGAAGTTAGACAGAGAGGCAAAGTTTAATACAAAATGTCGTCACAAGAAAAGAGGTCATGAAAAGGTAATTAAGTCATCATTATTGCTATCTTTGGTTGATCTTAAAAATTTTGAAACACCCTACTGGCATGCAAGCAGTTCCAGTACAGAAGCAGTACCCTTATTTTTTCGTTTAAATGCTTGATTTTTACTTGCATTATTTAAAATTTCATATCAAATCAAGCACTTTAGTGGGCAATGTGATGAAAACCTGTTTAATTATCAGAATTTTTACCTGTATTACAATTTTAAATAATTTTATGGCCTTAATGTGTAAAATATCTTGCATACAAGCACGCCATTGCTTGTGAATGCGTTTGGGTAACGGTAGTCGGTACTAGGTAATTGTTACCAGGGTTTAGTCTACGCTCTATATCCTGAATAAAATCTATTTACCTTTGGGAAAATGGTCTCTTTAACAATTATACATGAATAATTGGTCTGATATAACAACATTGTATAATTATGATGGGATATATTTGATATACGGAAACTACTTCTCTTCATACAAAATAATGGTGCTCTGTACCCCATATCAGGCCTCATAACTAAGGGTTATTCTATGTTTGGAACATAATGGAATTTCCATAATTTGTGCGACAAGCCGAATATTGATGTGTAACAATCAATTTTTTGGTGAGTGAGCGTAATAAAAGATAATTTTTAAATAACCTTTTTTGTACCGGAACTGCTCGCATGCCAGTACTAGGTTTGTACTCATTCAGTTAAGTATTACATATTTATATAAGCCGCGTCACGACAAAACCAACATAATGGGTGTGTGACCAGCATGGATCCTGATCAGGCTGCGCGGATGCGCAGGCATCCGCGCAGTCTGATCAGGATCCATGCTGTTCTACTTGTTATAGTGTTTGTAAGCAAACAGCATGGATCCTGATCAGACTGCACGGATGCGCAGGCTGGTCTGGATCCATGCTGGTCGCAAACCCATTATGTTGGTTTTGTCTTGACGCGGCTCATATGTTATTTAAAGTCACAGATTCTTATAATTGCCATTATATTAAGTGAATTTTGATGCAGCCCGAGTATTTATCTATTTGTTGCAGATACATGTAGATGTACAGCTTCATTCATGGAACAAACCAAATAAAGTTAATGATTTGTAACTTGAGAATCTATCCTCTGCCTGAGGAAATATCTGGCTCAACTGTTCCAAGTTTTTTTATTATTTTAAAGTCAGTTTTTTACATGTTGTTGTGTTGTCACGGATGGTATCCAATGTAAAATTGACAAGTAGGAGAATTGGTTGCATTTCTTTTTCTACTGCTATTGTTTTACGCCTGATTGTTAAGCATGGAGAAATAAATAATTAGAAATCTTTAATTTCAGTGGACAGAAAAAGCTCAGAAAACAAATATTGAGAATGCTGATAGAAGACATATTATGTTTGATGATTCTCCCTGAGGCTTGCACTAAATGCAAAGGTCAACAGTGTCTATTTAGCTTGGTGTACAATACGTTGAGAAGAAAAATATTTATACACACTTCATAAATTTTGTGTGACACTATAATATATTCAGTAATGTAAGTGCCACATAGTTGTACATTCTGTTCATTAGTGAGATAAAGTTGTACATTCTGTCAATTAGTGAGACACAGTTGTACATTCTGTTAATTAGTGAGAGAAGAGACTATCATACATTCTTATTTATATTGCTGTTAAGAGGTTACTATTGATGTAAAATACATCATTCACTATGTCTTATGAAGCCTCTATCTGTATTGGCAGACGCTTAATGAAATATTGTGTAAACAAACTACATAAATAAACTGCTACAGATGTTGTTTGAATTGAGCCTAGTGTCGTGGAGAGTCTACTATTGTAATTTACATTTCAGTTTAATTTAATATATGCTGAAATATGAATATAATTGAAAATATTTGTAGATTATGTTTATTTTCTATAAGAAAATGATGTTGAAAAAAAAAATTAATTTGAAAATGTTTTAGTTATGTTTTCTATGATTACAATTCCACCTTTATTGCAGGTACCTGTGATAAACACTTGTATCTATCGAATTTCCTGAGAGAAAAAGTTTTAGGGCACATTATGTGTCCGGACAAATTAGTCATTATAAACTAGTGCCAGTCAGCATCGGGGTTGCTCAATTCTTTTTGGTTTTAAAGCCAGTTAGCTTGTTTGCTGTGGTTGGACTTACTGCTGGCACATGCTAAAAATACTGAACGGAGTGGTATAAGGGGTCTGGTCTTCTTACTCTTCTAGTTTAAAAAATTGCAACAAGACCACAATAATGCACTAACTAACCAAAATGGAAGTGGTGGTTAAGGTGTCTGTCACTCAACCCAGGGATTGTAGGTTATGCTCTGTCACTCAAACTAGGAATCGTGATTGAGCCCTGTCACTCAATCCAGGGATCATGGGTTTGAGCCCTGTCAATTAATCCAGGGATCATGGGTTTGAGCCCTGTCACTCAATCCAGGGATCATGGGTTTGAGCCCTGTCACTCAATCCAGGGATCATGGGTTTGAGCCCTGTCACTCAATCCAGGGATTGTTAGTTTGAGCCTGACCTGGATCATATTTTCTTGTGATACCAGCACTACATGTAGTTAGTGCCAGGAAGCAGACATCAAGTGGTTCAAATAAACTATGAAATAAACTTTAAATAATTCTTCAAAATTTTGCTTAAATAAACAACAACACAGTTTTTTACAAAGATATTTTTGGCTTTATTTGTAATAAAAAAGTATCAATAAATATATTTACATACAAGGCAATAATATCATTTACAAATTCATGCCTTCATTATGAACATCGAGAATGAAAATGGAATTATTATAAAAATGTTATTAAGAACAAATGTTGGTCAGCTCAAATAAAGTACATCAAACTATTTGGTGTTAATGTATAAATACTGAGGTTGCATATTTTGACATCTTAAATTGTGAAAAAAGTATTATTGTCAACTCATCCATGTCTGTCAACTTCATTAAAAGTACAATACTATCCCTTAAGAAAACCTCAAAAATACTACTGTAAAAAGTAGAATAATGTTCAAATGTTATATTTCATAAATATTTAAAGTTTAAACCCTCAATTTTCAAACTAAATATTTTTATTATTAATGTCATATTTAATTTCATTGAAATAAATTAAAAATATACTAAATGTGTAATACTTGGAATGGATTTCTTTATTAATGTTACTTTCAAACTTACTGACTTTGGGATGCATAACTTCTATCCGTGCTAATGAATAAAGCAGAAAATTTCTATTCCAACATTTGTGTATGCAATGATGAATTTTTCCTACAAGTCAGCAGTTTTAATTTCTATTTAGAATTATTTGCTATCTTTTGAGAAGCCTTGCTTGTGTTTTCAAACTAGTATTCCCATAGACCTATAGTTAGTATAATAATATAACGTAGAATGAATACCCAAATGGTAAGGTGGTGTGAAATTCAAAACATGGTTTTGTAATGACTTTAAAAATTTGTATGAAGCTACATTTCAACTTTTTGTGTATAGAAATATTGGTATTATTGAATCTAAATGACTGATTACACAAAAAAATTTTGGGCTAGGGAAGTTATCAGGACAAGAACTCAAAATGCTCATTTTAAATTACCCCATCTGCAAATAAACAGAAACCCTCATTTTAATACTTTACACTATTATTACTGTATATACCCTCTTATAAGAGGCAGCCCTATTTTCAATTATATCGCAGGGATTTTTTTTATATACCTGGCGTATTCACCCTCGTATTAGACAAGTGAACTTTTTGCCAAAAAGCCGAAAATCCACACTGATTCTGCCCTGCAAAATCTGCCAAAAATTTAACATTTTGTCAGAGAGTTTTCAAAGATATTAGAAATATTTGGGTAAGTACTCTTTTTCTCATGAAAGAAAAATGATAAGATTAGAAATTTTTTCGATAAAAATGCTGAAGTTTACTTGTATGAAGTATAACTCACAGCAGTATGACATATTTTGGCAAGTTACATACTAAATTACATTGTAATAATAATAACAACGTTTGGTTAACTACAAACCATGGCACATAAATGAATTATTTGCTGTAGTTGAAATATTCAGTCCTGAGTTATTCTAATTTTGCTAGAAAACAAGCAAAATAGATCTTTCTATATAACATAATATAAACCTGTCTAAAGCCAGTACTGGATTAACCTAATAGTATACTATTTAAGGAAAGATCTGTACTGAATAATATCTTGCTATCTGATTGGTCCCTGTTTTTAAAGGATAATTCTGTAAACAATAACAAGTTTTGTATTGTTTCACAATCAGTGGAGACAATATTCATAATATAGAATACACTTACATATATAAAACAAGTGTGTTAAAAAAGAAGACTGGCCTATTTACTTTCAAGTCAAATATACATGTACACACAACATACATAACTCACAGACATCAAAATAAATAACCATACCAACAAATACCATACAACAAAAAATGGAAATAAAACAATAAAAAATTATCACACTTCTGTCCCGTTTCCTTTGGAAATATTTTTATTTTTCTGGATATTTGTATCTTTTACCCTAACTGCTGTTTTCCCATGATCACCTTTATAAATCACCGACTCCTTGAGTTCTAAGCTCGACCCTGCACGCACCGAGAAATTTTGATTACCTTTAAAAATCACAGAATTTTGTTGTGCTAGTTCTAAATTGTTTCTCTTCTTTGGAGGTTCTGGTGTATGGTTTTTTCTTCTCCTTTTCCGACGCACGAGGAAAAATAAAATCACTGCTGCTATTATTATTACTATAACTATTATAATAGGTAATAAAACAGGAGTTAAATTATTACTTTGCTTATTGTCTGTACTTTCAAGTACCTGAGTATTATTTAAATGCAGTACTTTAATATTTGTTCCATTTTTACTTGTATTGTTTTCTAACCAATCGTACTTCATCTGAGTATTTTCTGCGAGACTTCTCTTATATTTGTCCAATGAGAGAAGAGCAGATCTCTTTCTGCGAAAAAGTCTGAGATCTGTTGGTCCAATAGAATACATGACTTGTAGATACCACTGAAAACCTGATGTCACCTGTAACAAAGAACATGCTAGTTATAATGGAGACAGAAAATAATATTTAGAAATATGTTCAACCTAAATATACATGTATATACAAAATGTATATTCTCTTGAAAAACTTATAGCAGAAATTTCAATCTTTTCTAATGCACCTACATTTTGTAATTTCAAATATGCTAAATTTTAAATGTTTTACCAAAAGTCCTGTTGTCAAATAACATACTTGTTTTTGTTATGCTGATGTTAACACATTTTTATCATATCTTGTTAGCAGGTCCATCTAACTGGCTTTCCTGGATAACTTGCCAGTAATTACCAATTTCTTTGCAAGTGACCAACTACATAATAGAACCAGAATTAGTCACTGGTTTCAAATACATCTGTATAAGCAGACATATTTTCAAACATGAAAAATACAATACATGTATGTACAGTAAATACCATATTATTACTAAGAAATGAACATATTTTACCTTGTAAAGTGGATCAACACTGATTATAAATCCATCTACACCATGTATAGATAACAGACTGGAGAACATTGAGTTCTCTGACACAAACTGGGCATCAAAAGGAACACCCTGGAATGCCTTGTTGGTAATGTCTGGAGCCCCTCGGTCCTGTAAATGAAATTATAAATTATCATGTCTTAATTCTCTTTGCAGATCAATTATATACAGCTGGACTACTCATTAACTTATAACTGGCTTAACCCTTACCCTTCTGGAACCAAAAATGATTTGTCTTTGCCACCAATATAGAACCAGTCCAGCCTGTACTATGATGTAGTCTAACTAGGCTCTATATAGTTAGCTGCTCAATATTTGTATTTTTTTCTATTGAAATCCCTTAAAACTCAAATGGACTGTTCTAAATTCAAAGCAGGGCAAATCCATTACACAATTTCAGCCCATTATAATATTTAAAATCAAATGCACTTCTTAGATCAAAAATGTTCAGAGATTAATTTATTTTGATATGCTTCCCCCTCTGGCCGCAAAATTTAATAATTCATTTTTCAAGTAAATAAATGGTTGCTTTAACATAATTATATGGAACCATTTTTTTGTTCACAAAGTTAATCAATTTATCAACAAAATTTATCTTTAATTCACAAAAAAAATAGAATTGTTTATTAATTTATTGAACCATTTTATTATAAATATATGATTTGCTTACCAAGATAAGGAATCTGTATTTAAGGTTTGGAACAGGTTGTATACAGCCAAACTGTGGTCCATTATTATATACAGTTCCTGTAGGATCATACGTGGGTATATGACCATCACGTCCTGAAATATAACCATTAAACTGCTATTATAACATTCAATAATCATGATTGATTTTATTATTGTGGATATCATATGATATTTTTCACACTAAAAAATTTGACATAAAAGTATATCAAACATTATAAGACAATGTCATTATGAAATTTTACAAATAATCATTTTTATTTTTTCTTAGAGATAAACAATGTAATATCAGTAATAATCACTGAACCTGGAATAGATTTTTAAATAAACTACCTGCACAAATAAAGACTTTTTCCAGCAGTAAAGTATAGGCATCTTTAAGATTCTGTTCTGGGCTCCACAAAACACGACCATATATCTTATCACCTGAAATATATCACACTCCAAATATTAAATTGATAAATATAAAATTAATCAACATATTTTAATGAATTGAACAAGGAATTAGCATAAGAATGTAAAATTGGGAAAAGGGAAACTGAAGAATCATTTCAAACTCTGTAATCAATTAAATAGACATTTCTGGATGTACTTTCATAATGTAGTACGGTAATCAATATCTAGATTTTTACTATTATTAAAAGACAAATTTATCCTTTTCATGTGTCTACAGTAAGAATTAAGTGAAGAACAGTCTTTAATTAATACAAAATCTCATTGTAAAATTATTTTTGTTAACAGGATATAATTCTAAACTCATCTGAAAGAAATGCTTTTTTAAAATATCTCTTTGACAAGTATGGAGTTATTTTCAAAACTTTACACAAAACATTCCTGATGGAATACCTTTAGAGAAAGCTATATGTGTGTCAGAGTCCATGTCCTCCATATCAAAACCCTCCGTAAATGGATCCATAACAAACATTTTCTCATTGTTAGTAATCTGGAAATGTGTGTTTAGAGTGTACTCAAGTGGTACTGGTCGATTTGTCTGCTGGAATGCTATTGGAACATCAAACCTGGAAAACAGAACAAAATAGACATAAATTAAAACCCAAATTCACATGTACATGTGTATTTTGTCATATTACAGAATGCTGCAGAATTTTTTAATTCATTCTTATTAATGAATGCATAATCAATATTCTATAAGATTTGTTTTTTTCTGTTAAGGAGATGGCCAATATAATTGTTTTAAAAACTAGAACTGTGTCCAAAGGACACGGATGCCCCCACTGACAACATATATATGGTATATAGTGAAAAATTCAACAAAGGGCCATAATTCTGTTAAATTTGGTAGCAGCAAAAATTTCCCTTTACTTTACTTACATTAAGTTTGTTCATCCCTGGAAGTTTAAGCAAAATCTGCCATCCGGTTTAAGAGGAGTTGCATTCACAAGATTTCGGGACGTACGGACAGACGGACGGACAAGTGCAATGCTATATGCTCCCCACTTTGTGGGGGCATAAAAATAATCCACACCTTTAAATTAAAAACAATTTTAATTTCCCAACACTGTTCTTTTATTGACAAGTTTGACTGTATTTGAGACAAGTTGACAAATACATGTAAGGAGGAAGATAAATGATAGGAAAAAATAATGCACAATATTAAATAAGATAATTGAAAGAGTAATGTTAATAAAAACTAATATCAATTTTTTTACCTGAGTGGTTGGTGAGCTGTGCAGGGTGGGGGTGTATGTATCGTGTAGCCCTGTGTTGACTGTACTGTACAGGGTATAAGTTCAGCCATGTACTCTCCTGTGTAGTCCTGAAATACACATAAATAAATCACTGGTGAATAAATAAATATATATATCATTTCTTGTTCTTCAATTTTCAAACATATTCATGATTTCATGATTTTCCTGTATACTGGCAAGTTTTGATCTCTTAATGAATGCATTCAAAAGCACTTGTGTTGTACCCTGTTTATCAAACATTACAGTGATGCAGATAAAACCAAGAATACAAATGATGCATAAAACATAAATAAGTTTCAAAACATTTTTACAAAAACAAATAGCAAATACTTCAATGGTCGATAAACATTGAACACATCTTAGTCTTTCACTTTGTTCATGCATTCTTCATCACTAAGGCTAGTCCTTTATACTGATAATGCAAGTGATTGGTTTATTTTAAATCTGAAAGTTTAAACCAACCAATCAGACACTCAAGATTAAGACTGGTTCCCAATAAAATTGTTATAATAGCTTGAGTTTCAGACTGATCCAAAAAGTCCTATTAATTTACATTGCAATGGCGGCTCAAAGACAAGCAATGCAGAATGAAATGCCACTGTTAAAGCCATGTGAGTTATATATTTGAATTAAACTTTAAAATATTTTCTAAGACTAAAAAAACTAATATTTAAAGTGCAGTGCCAATACATGTACAAGTAATAATAAATAAGTTTCTATAAGGAGTATAAGCATTATTTTGGACAAACTAAAATTCATCTTGTCTTTTGCCTTATTTCTTCTGAAACTGTTTATTGTCTTTTAACTTGTGTAGAAGTAAAAGTATATTGCAATATGGGTTTAACTATAACATTGCACCCCTCATGTAATCAGGAAGTAGATAAATATCATTATATAACATACTAATTTAGCAGTCATAAAATAGAACTTGCTTCACTTATAGCATTTCAATATCAAACCTGACATTTAGATATGCAAATGTTTCTCTAAGATACTGTATTTTTCTATAATCATTTATTGAATAAAGAAAATAAGAATCCCTAAAGAAATTCCAAAACAGCAAATTTGAAAATGTTGCAGGCTGTGTTCATGAATGGTCCTGTCAAGTGCAAATTACCAGCCACAAAACCAACTGTTAAATTAATTTCAGCCGCATCATGACAAAACCAACATAGTGCGTTTGCAACCAGCATGGATCCAGACTAGCCTGCGCATCCGCTGGTCGCTGGATCCATGCTGGTCGCAAACCCATAATGTTGGTTTTGTCATGGCGTGGCTCATTTATTTCTTGGGATGAAACAAGTCTGTCCAAAATAACAAATAACAAACATATGAAACAAAAACAGTTATTTAAATGTTTGTGTACATCTAGTAACAATACATGTACATTAAGAGTGCTCTGGGGTACATGTAAAATTGACAAAAAGCATTACAAGGCAACAATTGCAAAGTTATTAAATTTAAAAATAAATGGAATCTGGATAAAAATTTCAATATTGCATATTGGGTTGATATTAATTAAAGCATTAAATGGCACTGTGTACATTACTCTCTTGAATGAACATTATTCACAATTATTAATCCATACCTGCATGACACAACAAGAGCTGTCCGTAAGACAGCGCGCTCGACTTTTTTATTGCTTGCCAATAAAAAAAGTTTTTGCAGTAAAAGGCAATACAAGAATCTCTGTATTTTTAAAGTGAACAAGTATTCCAACTTTCAAATTAATATCTCAAACAGTTCAGTCAAAAAGTGGACTGGTACTAAAAACTTAACCAAGATTCTAAGTCGATAAAAGGCCTTAATTTTTAAAACAAATCCTTGACAGAGTTACCTTCTCTTGCGTACAGATGGGGGTAATGATGTGAAATAGCATTAAAAGTTTCAAAGCAATATCTCAAAGGGTTAAGGCAATAAGTGGATTTTACCCATATTCAATGTATTTTCTAAGTCAAAAGGGGCATAATTCTGTCAAAAACCTTGACAGAGTTATGTCCTCTTGTCTGTTGATGAAGGTCGTGATGGTAAACAAGTATGGTCAGTTTCAAAGCAATACCTCCAATGGTTTTGAAATAAAGTGAGGTGGTACAAAAAACTTAACCAAGCTCAATACACTTTCTAAGTCAAAAAAGGGCCATAATTCTGTCAAAAACCTTGACAGAGTTATGTACTCTTGTCTGTAGATGGAGGTTATGATGGTGAACAAGTATGGTAAGTTTCAAAGCCATACTTGTAATACTTCTGAAATAAAGTGGGGTGGTACGAAAAACTTAACCAAGGTGTGACGCCAATGCCGACGCCGACGCCGGGGCGAGTAGGATAGCTCCCCTTTTCATAGAAAAGTCGAGCTAAAAATGATTAGCCCACCAGTATAGGGCCAGGCTGGCTTGTACATCAGTGCAGTATGACCTGAGGCTCTATACTGTTGGTTGACTAACTTGAAATTTTCATTTTCACATCCCCAAAAATGAAAAATGAAAAAAAAAAGCTTGAAAAATTCATGAAAATTCAGCAAGATAAAGGTTAAAAAGCACTGATGGTTTTATATGCAATAAAAAATAACAAGCATTAATTGACACAATGTGATAGGATTATAGCTAAAGCTTTAATCATTGATAGATACATTTATCTTTGAAAAGATGACATTTCATACATTTCTTGTATTTTCTGGGATTACACAATAAAAATACAGTCAAACTTCGTTGGCTCGAACTCGGACGGCCTGGGTAAATTTGTTTTTTGAGATTGGTATACAATTCCTTAAATTTCTGAACATTTTTCAGGTGAGACTTTTCAGAGAATGTTATAATGTTCTATGAGTGTATGACAACTAAATGATGTTGCAATTTTGCTTTGAGCATGGCTATAAATTCATACTTTGCCTTGACAAGTAGACTGGCTGAAATGGTTTCAATTCTAAATTTTATTCATTAGAAGCCTCTTGCCATCTTGTGGCATAAGCTCTTAGCACTTTGTAATGGCTGGTTGTATGTGCTTTAAATATTGTAAACAACATTAGAAGCATGAGCTCTGTATGCACTTTTTAAGCGGTTGCCGTTCTAATTCTGTTTACAAATTTTAGTAGTTAACTTTTAGTGGCATAAGCTCTGAATAAAATAAGTTTTGTTTGCATCAGCTCTGAATGGCAATGCAGACGAAATTTAGCAATTTTAGCTTGTGAAAGGCATGCATTTTTTTTAGCTTATGTCAGATTAAAGGAAAGTGCATCTTTGGAAATAATGTATACTGGTAATTAACACTTACACACCGAATTTATGATTAATGAAAAATGATATTTATTTGTTTCCAGGATTAAATATTTCTTTATATAAAAATATAATCTTATTAGTAACTGTGTATAAAAATTCACTATGATTTTTATGCTTACTTTTGAAAAATTCTGCAACAAAAATTAAGAAGCAGTGTCAAAATATGATTAATTACTGCAAAAACAGTATTATTTTTGGGGCACTAATTTTCGTGGTTTTGGTGGATAGAATAATCTTGGAATTTAAGATCCAACAAATTTTTTTATATTTGCTGTATGACTATTCTTACAACAATATTTGCATTACATTTTTTCTTTGCAAAAGCAGACAATCAACTAATTTTAACAACCCAGGAATATGTCCTTTTTGGCAAAACCATGAAATTTCATGCCCACAAAATTAAGTGAATTGACAGTATTACATATTTATTATCATGGCTTTAGAATAAGAATATGATGGTTAGTTAATGTTAAATTAAAATATATACAACTTTATTTAAATTAACATTTATATTTTTTGTAACAATATACGGTATTTTTATTGAAATGATAATACTGTACATTTCCCTCCCATTTTACATAAAAAATCTATAATGGTGATCAAAATTAAACACATGTTCCCTATCCAATGTGCTTGATTGCAATCAATCAACAATTCACAAAGTTTAAATGGCACCCATCCTCCTCCCCCCTCTAATTTTGTTATATAGCAGCAGAGCACAGCATCACTAAAACTTCTTATTCTCATTCTTATTCTCATACAATATACATGCTTCTAGCTAAGTAGTATATGAGACGGCTTAATTTAATTTTGTATACACACAAAAAACGGATCTACTCGACCTCTTCCCTTTATTTAAGGTGGGAAAAGAAGAGGCGTTGGGGTTAGGGGGTTATGGGGGAACGTCAAACACCTAGTACCTCAAGCTCCACACATTAATATTTAATACATGTTACATTGAGTTATTGTATTATATACAGTCTACTAATAATTCTATACATTTACATTGTACTACAATATTATATCAATTCTATTTTTTACCAACAAAAATAACAATAATTTTAATAATGATTACCAGCAAAAAAATGTAAACATATCATTGGAATAGTTATATAAACATCATTTTCTACTTTATCGCAATACAGGTATATGTAAAATCTAACATCATAACAAAAAAAAGCCACTTTTTTCAACCAGATTAACAGATTCTTTTTCTTTTACAGTTTTATGAAAATTTAACTTTAAACGCTTAAATTTCCAAGTGTATTCATACAAAAATATAAAAAGACAAAAAAATAAAACAATTATGTGCACTTAAATTTACTTTCTGCGCTAAAAATTCTTATTTAACCAGATTTCAAAATAAATCGAGTTTAGATAAGCTCACCTTCAGACTGTAATCACTTGTTGCCCTCCAGAGTTGATGTGGTCCATCAAACGTGTTTTGACCCCACAAAAGGTCAAGGTCAAATGAGACATCACTGTCAACAGAGACAAATCGGCTGGTGTATCCAGGTAATGTATGATGGTCCAACACATACATCCCTGTTATACATAAATCAGTAATTTAATCAAGGGGAACAAAAATGAGCCGCGCCATGACAAAACCAACATAATGGTTTTGCGACCAGCATGGATCCAGATCAGGATCCATGCTGTTCGCTAACCAACTTTATTACAAGTAGAGGAACTGATAGCGAACAGCATGGATCCTGATCAGACTGCGCGGATGCGCAGGCTGGTCTGGATCCATGCTGGCCGCAAACCCATTATGTTGGTTTTGTCATGGCACGGTTCAAATACAAAGTGGATTTGTCCAGTTTTGTAAATTTCAGAAAATGGGATTTTGTCTTTAGCCTTCTAATGGAACTGTGTACACATACAAAGAATGGCTGAAATATAAAATGGGAGGACTGTTTCTCGAAACATTTTAGAATTGGAACACCATCAGTTCTAGTCACTGGTTTAAACAGGACCTTTACCACTCATTTTAGACCAAACTGTTTGTTGTAAAATCACAGATATCAGATATATATAGGACAGGACCAGGAATTGCTTAACTTCTTTTTTGTTATCAAACTTTCTCACCTAACTTCAAAACACCAACCCTTACCTCTAAATTTGGCCTGTGTTTTAAAGTCAACCACTAGTCTGCCATTGTCATCTATGAGAATTCTCATGACCTGTAACCTTCCTCCAAGGTCACCCTCTGTTTCCAGACCTGACCTCCATAACACAGTGTCATAATAGAAGGAAAACTCCAGCTCTGTTCTGTGTTCTAATGAACCCCAACCTAGAAATATGATTCAAAAGGAACAAAATAAAGGGTCTATGATTATCTCAGATGATCTTATACATAGACATCAGCTCAAAAATGGAAAATGAAATTTCTGTACAAGTTTAACAACAAATACTGTTGTTGCAAAACTAATACATTTATTCAGTTTTTTTTTATGTCAGCTGATAAACAAACTGTACTTAACTTGAATACATAAAAAAAAACCCACTATATTATGCTACATGTTATCGTAAAAATACTAATACAATAGAAAAAGGCAAAACTTACCAATAGGTGCTACTGCATACAGGTAAGACACATACATGGGTACTCTCACTGTCAAGTATGTCTGCCCAATGTCCTTGACCTGGAAATCTGACACTGCACGACCTCCACAAAGGTCAACAAGGTCAGTCATGTGATACCATGCTTCAAAGGTCCACAAACATTTCTTCAAATCTAAATACTTGTATAACATCAATGTTTTATTTTCTCTCAAATTACTATCAAACTGATATGGAAAATCGAAACCAGGTGATAAATACTTTGGTAGGTATTCCTCGCCATTTAAAAATCCAGCTTTAAGAAGAGGTGCTCTTTCTTTTGGTGTGATTAAATTAGAACAAATATGTTGTTGTCTGTAGACTGGTTCAGAAAGAACATATTTCAGATTGCTTATCGGTGATGTTGAAATCAGTGGAAGCATTCCGTCTTGATGGGGAACCTTGACTGTGATGTGAATGGTATTCGGATGTAGTTTGTCCTCAGTGCCAACATACTCAAGTTTAGTATGGAAAGACTGGGCCTGATAACTGTAAGGCAATGCTGAAAATACTGGTGCTTTACAAATACCATTGTCTCGACCAATCGTAACTGGGTTACTCTTTAATGGTATCCCAGGGTTCCCTCTCTCGTCAAGAGGCTGGACTATACAACGGATGCGGAAACTTGGTCGGAAGTATATAGAATCAAGGACCATGTGGTTGACACTAGTGTAGAGTGTGTTGTAAGAGACTTCAATAAAGGGCGGTCTAGATCCACCCATGTCCGGTATACCAACTTCCCACCGGTAAAACATGGCAGTCTGGTTGATCTTTGCCTCGTCACACAGACTGTGTGTCACTTTATAAGTTGGATGATGAACATCACAGGGCTGTAAAACAATAAATGTTCAAAGACAGTTGAATGTATAGTGTTATGCTTAGTTAATCTTTGAGTTCTATTTTAACTACATGCAATGACATTTTTTTTTTGCAGAGACATGATAAAATCAATTAAGATAACATTAATGCACCAGTCAGTAGTAACTAAAGAAATAAATGGAACTTTGACTTTTGAATTTTCAAACCTGATAGAGTGTGATGGTAAAAAATCCCCGACATTCTCCTTGCCATAACATGGCCCCAAAACTAAATGACTGCATTGAACTTGTAAAGGGGGTCAGATTAAAGGTAAATCATGGCTCATTTCCCCTGAACAGCCAAAGGTAAGGGTTTGAGACCCTTGCAACATTAATCCTGAGTATAAACATTAGTTTATTATTAAGTTACTAGGCTCAACAGAGTACAATAAGTGAGAATACATTAGGAGATAATTAAACATTAACTTACTGTAATACAGACAAGAGGATAGCCAGGTGTTGGATCAATTTTCATTCCTGCTTCAACATCGTCATACTTCAATAGCGAGACAACCTGCAACATAAAAATAAATACTATATTGTATCTAAAAACAAACTTTCTTCAACCCTTTCAATGTTAAAATTCAATATTTTAAATAGACTGTGCCCATCTTTCAAACTGGACAAAACCACACATTATTCTTAGGGAAAATTTCAAAATCTGTACTGACTGAATTAACTAACAGTGCAGACCATGATCTCTCAGCATAGATTTACCAGCTGATCTTGATCTGCACTGGTCACATGGGTAGAACTAGTTGTCACCACCAGGCTTAGAGTTAAGAAACTTTCTTATACAACCCAAACATTCATGAAAGTTCATACATGTATTTATATGAGCTCAGGATTCAATAATCCCTGGATTGACAGACACTATTATGGCATCTTCTAATTAAAATATTATAAAACAAACATTTCTAAATGAAGTTTTAGAATAAGACTGATAAACATCATTTTTCATGAAAGATTATATTAGAACAATTGTTTAGCATCTATGTTGTCTGTGATTGAAAAAAACAATGAATTTTAAGATAACTGTAATCATCTTACCAAAGGTGGTGCTGGTAGAACCAGACTACCAGATACATCGTTGTCAAGAATGGTAATGGTTGCCATAGAAACTGATCCAAGCTCTGCCCCAACTGGATCCCCAGGACCGAGAACAATACTAAATGTCTCATGCCATTCTATGTCACTGTTGTACAGGATATCAATGGAAAAGTCCAAACTCTTAACACCTGTATGAATAAAATAATGAATTTTATCAAACTTGAGGGATTCAGATATAAAGGTAATTATTGCTTGTGGTACTGACACTTTGAAAAAGTTCAAACTACACTTTGAAATTTTAGGAATGCAATTCAAAAGATCTCCGTTTTTGCTAATAGGGGTAAAAATCCTGGATTTTTTGTGCCGCAATCATATTTCTTTTGGGAATGGTTCAATGACAGGAGAAAATAGAATGAACTGAAAATCATAGTGGATTAAAATAACCACAACCCTTGATATTTTCATTTGTGGCCCTGCTGCTGTTGAAGCTTATCACATTAACTGTTAACAAATGAAACATTTTTTTATTAAATCAATCACAAATAATGACATTATATCAAGAAAATCAACAAATACAAATTATAACATGCCTTCCGCAAACTGAAGAATTTGACTTTTAGGATTATAGTCTGTCCCTGAGAATGCTGATCCATCCCTGGTACTACATCTGACATTTGCTACCTTGGAAACATCTCCAAGTCTGTTGACCTTGACCGTTACCATGGCAATTTGATCTTTGGCACTTGGTTCTGGTATACTGTATGCTGACTTTTCAAACTCTATCCTTGGAACTGAATATGATATATATACATGTGTTTTTAAAGCAAACTATTTTCTCTAAACATAGACAAAACTTTAAAATTAGAAAGGATGAAACTGGAAATTAAACACAACAGAAAGAGAAAGGATATCATAAAAAGCTTGTAAATTAGTTCCTTCAGACAAAGAATTTCATTTTGAATTTGTTTGAATAAATCATTTTTTTCTCAATTTTTCACATTTAGTCGGAACAAATAGAAAATCAACCTAAAGGTTTAACAAATGTGCCATATCTGACAAAAACTGAGAATAATTTCTACTTTAAACAATCTGATTCCATTATTGACCTTTTCGAAAACCTAGCTAAACACCGTTTTCCGGTACGTTACCGTTTTAGCTCTGGGGAATTACACCAAATGAGGTACATAACACAGTTACGTGATATTTCTATTTTTCTAATATTATTTAAGCGTTTAAGGTGATAAAATTCATGTTTTTGAAAATTATCAATATTCCTTTAATATCTATTGCAAATAATTCAAAAAAATAAATTATTTATAATGAAAATCAATAAAATTCAAACAGACGTAGTGGAATCCTCCATAATAAATAAAGATATTTTCAGCATAAACTTGTGTATTTACTTTATTTTTTGTATGGAATTATTCATACAATGATATTTAATTATTTTCTTATAAAGAAATAACTGTTTTATTTCAATTTAATTTTAAAAAAGGCCGAAAACATCGAGTTCGCTATTACACTCCATTAGGTGAATTCCCCAGAGCTATGTACAGAAAGTACCGGAAAACGGCGTTTAGCTAGGTTTTCGAATTCGTGAATCCCTGATATACAAAATTGTATGTCTAATATATTACATATAAGAGCAAATCTCTGTGAACTAACACCATTTGAAAGGCACATAAAAATCTTATATAATTACCATCATTTAAACTTGTGATTGTTATTTCTGTAGAGTTGATTTCCCCTATTGTAGCCCCTATAGTTTCTGATCCAAGGGGTCGAGTAAGTTTCAGGTAAAGTATTTCATCATCCTCGAAAAAGTCATCATCCACTATACCTAATGTACAGTTCTTCACCTGTGGAGGTTGATAACTTGATTTTGAATAACAACTTATTTTGAGTTCAATTTTCAGACTTATCGCTCATTAATAATACGATTTTGAGTAGCCATTTAATCCATGAAATGATTAATTTTCAGACAGACTGCTCTATAAAAATTGCATATAACTAGAATTCAAAGGACAATTCATTTTATGACAAGATTTATTTTTCAGACTGACTTTTCAGACTGACTGTCCACTGAAAATAAGGTGGATAAAGCAGTGCATAATTTTCATTTATTTAAAAAAAATATCAAATCCTTATATTTTAAGAGGCACATAAAGAGTTGAAAAATGTTATTGCAGGCATTAATGCAGATCCTTAAATATAATGTTCAGCAATGAAAAAGATAAAAAGTTGAGAAAAAAAATATTGATTCAACTTGAACCAGGCTTTTCATGAGTTTGCAATAATGAACTAAATAAATAATTAATAAAATATTATCTGAAAAGTTTACCTTCTCTCCAGCTTTGAAGATAATTCTGGAATCCTCTGACAGTATCCTTTCTATATAGTCCTCCATAACAAGAGCCGTGTTCTGTCTAGTGTAGCAAATTACCGAAGATTCAAAACTCGTGTCACCTGTCCGGTACACCGGAACATCATATATCTGTTTACTTTCATCTACTTTGTACCCCTCTTCCCGAAAACTCATGGTTGGTACTAAAACAGAAGTTAATTAGTGATAATTCAATATATTCTAACAATTCCAAACTCATTTTATTCATTTACTGCAAGATCTGTATTTCTATTATAATTGCTTATGACAATAATTGATTAATGATAAAACCATGTATTCTAAAGAATTCAAAACTCATAAATTATTCTTTCTTTTTTTAAAGAAGTACTGTAGAAATTTCCGATATAGTTTTTTTTTTGTTTTTTTTTTTACAAAATAATGATTGGTTTCAGTTATTTATGACTTTTAAAATTATTGCAACATCCTAAATAATTATTTGTATTATAGTTGTTTATGACTCTATGTGCATGGGCCAAAAACCTTATAACACTCCATAATATAATGAACTTTACCAATTACAAAAGTTCATCAGTTGATTTATATAAGGGGATAATTCAATGTCACTTTTCTCCATTTTTTAAACTGAAAATCATATAAATGAAAATACTAAATGGTTTTCTCCTCTTTTTAAGATTATTTTCTTTGTGTAAAATTTTCAGTTTTCTTTGCAAGACATTTGTGACAAATATAACCAAAAGGTTCCCAGCTTTGTCATATAAATTTGTCTCGCTTAGAGAAAAAAATTGTACATTGTACTTGAATTGTCCAGCTTTCATTTGTCAGACAATATGTATCAAACTGCAGACTGGTCTGAGTTTATACTGGTAGCCTACGAGATAAAATTACTTTATAAATAACATATAAAATCTTACAGTCAAGTTCTGTATCTAGTATATGTATAACAGCAGTGAATGGTTTAACAAGGCTGCTACTGACGGCTGAACTTAGGAATATACTGAATGTTTCATCTCCTTCAACCCTGGGGTCAAGGTCATCATCCAACAAGGTCAGGTGACATTTCTGGACAAATATATATCAAAATATTTATATGTTTTCCGTTATACAAAAAAATGTTACCAATGAACTGAAGACATCGAGTACAAACATTGTCAGAGACAAATCTGCTTTATTTTGTTGTATCAAATAAATTATTTTCACTGTTTTTGAGGAAATTCTGTACAGAATTAAAAAGAAACCAAAAGTAAAAATGATAAAAATTCTGAATATATTCCTCAAAATAAGATATTAAAATATGTATTTCAAATAAAGTACTGCTTGAAAATTCTCACATATATTTACTTTCCTATTTTAAAAGCTTTATAACAAAAATTCATGCACCTGAAACTTAAAATCGCATCATGTCAGTACCGTTTTCATCCTCAAAAAAATATACACCTTTTCTTTCATAATCTATATATATCCTGGTTGTACTATCTACCGGGAGTGTAAGCCTTATTAGGCCCACCATCATATAATACAGAAAAAAATCTAGGATAAAATATTTATTTTCTGTAGAAGGTACCATTTTTTGATGAAAATAACAATCTTCCAAAAGAAATTTTAACTATACATCAAAAAGATAGTTCTGTTAATAACCTCATATGAGTGGCTGCAATCTTTGTTTTTAACTACTTAATACCAAGAATGACTTTTAAGCAATCAATAAAAAATTAAAAACATATGTAAATGGTCCATTACTGCTAATGATACTAAAGTTCTATTCAATATTTATCAGTTATCACAAAGTAAAAGGGTAACAATTCGATAAACATATGACACACATTCCAAATATCATGTTGGATCCAAATTGTTAGTCATACTACTGGTTTTTATACATATAACACATGTACGTGAATAGGAATATTAAAACTTCGAATTTTCTTTAAAAAAATGCTATATGAAATTAATGTGAAAAACATTTACATACAAAAGAATTTTTTTTTTGTAAGAATAATTTGTAATATCTGGACATTCCCGGTACAAAGTACCTCCCGGTATAAAGTACCTTGAGGATACAATGAAAGCAGAATATACCTGAATCTTTTGCCCAGGTCCAAAAGTGATCTGACTTGAGCTGGGTACATAGTCCTGGCCTGAGACAGCTGAAGGTGGGCTAGTGAGTCTTGTAGCACACCACACAGTGGAGGTATGGGACAGGTCCGAGCCCGAGCGTATAATATCTACGTCAAAGTTTCCAAGAATTCTCATCAAAACTTGTTATGATAGTTATGATAAAAAGTGTATTACAGATTTGTAATTATTAAAAAATTCTTGAAAAGAAGTGGTTTATAAAAAGTATATAATCATGTTGAAATTAATTTCAAAAACAAAAAGTAAAAAAATAATAAATTGTTTCCCTTTTGGTTTAATTTAATTTAAATTTCAAAATTTAAAGAATAAGTTTGGAGGTGTGCTGCTTTAAAAAAAAAAAATCAAATTTAAAAAATTTAAATTAAAAGAAAACTAAAAAATAACAAAAAAATATTAATCTCCCTTATTTAAATAATTAAAAAGGAAAAACGGAAAAATTTTTTACTATTTGGCCCATCAATTCACGGGGTTAGAGATGGCCCTAATTGGCCCCCAAAGAGGGTGAGCCTTTTAAGCCCCAAACGCCCCGGGTTATTTATTTATCTATATCAAAATCAAAAAAATTTTTGGCTGTGTCTGACCAAAAACGTGATTTCCCGATGGCCCCAGCAGCTCCTCTGACGTCGATAAAACCCTTGGTGCGTTAAAAACCAAATTAAAAAGTAAAAAAACGATGTGACCATGGACCCCTGATCAGACTGCGCGGATGTGCAGGCGGGTTTGGCCCCATGTGGTCAAAACCCATTTGTTGGTTTTGTATGACGGGTTTTTTAAAATTGATTTGATTTTCATAATGTTTCCCTTTTTTTTTCCCTTTTTCAACTCTGTTATGTGGATAGTGTGTACAGTCAAATTTATTTAAGTTTAAAATTTTTTTTTTTTGCAAAAAATTTTTTAAAAATTCACCTTTAAAATAAGTATTACTAGTGTGTATTGAAATAAAAATTTTTCGCAGCCCAAGTGTAAAGGATTCAGCCCGATTTTCTTTTTAAATGAAAAATTATTTTTCCCTTTTTGCTAAATTAATGCTTTAAATTATTTTTTGCTTTTGATATTCATAACATTTGTAGACACATTAGTCACTTTTTCTTTAGACCAAGTATATTTGATGTTGTTGTTTTTTTATCAGGAATCTCTTACCTTGACATCACAAGTAGCTTTGGTTATTCCTGAGGGGAAGATAACTCTGTAGGAATTAGAATTTCCACGAGATATATAATCAGACCCGGAGTCTAACCGGTCAAGAGGACTACCTCGAGCTGTCAGGGAAGTTGTGTAACAAATAGTAGATACAGTGCTGCTTATATCACCTGTAAAATATAAAAATAATTGTATAATTTACATGATGTCTATATTTTGTCACTCAGCTATCAGACCAATGAGATACTGTTTGAAGGCTTCAACACTAATATAAAAAGCTTTTAAATAAAAAAAAATTGTTGAGGCTTAATGGGGCTTTAATGATATGTAGCTATTACAGAGGGTAAAAGAAGAAAACTTTTAAATCTTTATGTCAGAGCAAGAAAACGAGGGACACTTCCTTAGATATTTGTATATCTGTCATTAGGCAGTTTGTTTAACAGGAAACCCTACATTCAAAACCTGTCTCTAAGACACTTTGCTCAATTATTCTCATTATATGAGAGTAAAGAATTAGGCATAATTCTGTAAAAATGTAACTCTGAGCACCTATGCCCAACGTGTTACCAATCTAAGAGAAAAAGTGTGTGAAGTTTTAACCTTTTCTCTTCAGTAGTTTTGGAGATATCAACTTGCATGAACAAATTTAACCAAAGTGCGATGGCGACTTCGATGCCAACACCATGGAGAGTACAATAGGTCTCCCTATACTTCCAATACTAAAGCTAAAAACTGTTTCTATGAATGAGAAAACCTTTCTACACATGTATATGCAATAGATAGCTCAACTTTATTTTAGAAGACTGCTTTTTAACATTCTTCACAGTCTGACCTCTCCGAAAGAGAATGATTATATCTCACCATATAATGAAGATTGTTGGTTGCTACTGAAGGTCTACCATGTAATAAAAATTTCAAAATTGTGATTTACGGAATGACCCATGAGGTAGGCACTGATGTTTGAAAAACACTATAGAATTATTTCCACATTTAAGATTTTAAAATTATCAAGTACAACCCCCTAAATTCTAAACTTTTTGTCGGCATGATACTAACAAGGTATAAGTGATGATAGTTAATATACCTGTTCTAATGATTGCTGCAGACAGGTAACTTTCACTCTCATTCACATGATACTCTGGATACTGGAACTGTAAAACTGGCTCTGTAATATAACATACAATGTAAATTATACTTACTCAACTATTATACCTACATGTAGTTCTATAATTGTTACAAAGCCTTATTTGAGCCGCGTCACGACAAAACCAAAATAGTGCGTTTGCGACCAGCATGGATCCAGACCAGCCTGAGCATCCGCACAGTCTGATCAGGATCCATGCTGTTCACTATCAGTTTCTCTACATGTTTTAGGGTTGGTAAGCGAACAGCATGAATCCTGATCAGACTGCGCAGCTGGTCTGAATTCATGCTGGTCACAAACCCATTATATTGGTTTTGTCATGGCATGGCTCATTTGTACCATGATAGGTGATGTTTAGCCAATACATGTATATAGCACAAGGGGCTAAGAGCATGGTTAATCAATGGAACATAGTTTAACTTTATTAGCAAAAACTCTGATCCTGTAATATCTAAAAGTGGATAATGAATTAAAATCTAATATTGAAACATATAGAGTACAAATCATTCCATAAAAAATATGTGTCTTTTCCTTTTTTTTATAAGATGTATATATTCTCACCATCTTCCATATCAACAATGGTCACTGTTGTTTTTTGTCTGGTTCCCAGCAGTGTAAATGTTGGCTGGATCAACTCTACATAGAATGATTCACGGCCCTCAAAGATGGAGTCATCATTTATAATAATAGTGCACATTTTTGAATCCTGCCATTCATCAAACTGTACCTGAAAATTTTGAATAAATGTCTTCATTCTATGCCCAAAATTTACATCAAATTGCTGCTTCAGATTTGTTTAACTAGATTCCAATATATTCCTGTATTGGATGCTGAAGGATTCAATATAGGAATAAACCCATCTTTCATCAATGGACCTGTCATTAAACAATACAAAGTTAAACACTTGCAAAAAGAAAATACTGGTAAATAAGAATGTATAATTAATATTTATTCAAAAAAAAATTAATTCTACCTAAATTACTTTTGGCCCAATTAAATCCGGGAGGTTCCCAATTTAAATGTTTACCAATCTATTACGGATTAATAAAAAATTTTTCCTGTCAAGATGGGGGACAAAAATCTTGGACCGGTCTGGTTCCCTTTGACTTTTTGTCAAAACCCGAAATTTTCTGGGACATTCACAAAGAATACTGAAAACATGGTTCCAGATTAAAATTTTAAACTTTTTATGCATAATATTTTAAAAACCCCCCAAAAAAAATTTAAATTTTTTGGTTTAAAAAAATTAAAAAAATAAAAACCAAATGTCCTTCTTTTTAAAAAACCAAAAAGGAAAAGCCTCTATATAAAACCCAGCCCTGAAAAAATTTTAAAAAGATTTCAAAAACTTTACCAATATGATAATATTTAAATTAAAAAAACTAAAACTTTGCAATTTCAATAATTGTCTCAAGAATACTCTAATTTACAATTTTAATTTTCGAAAAAATTTTGTTCCTCTTCCCCTCATCTGCCCAAATTCTACCAAAAATGGGTGGTTACAAAAGAATACATAAGAAAAAACCCTTTCCCATTTTGGATTCCCCCTTCTTTTTTTACGGGAAATTTTGGAAAATGCCTCCCCATTTTTCTTTTTAAAATTTAAACAAATGCCCTTTTCAAATTTTTATGTTGACCTTTGTAAGATAAAAGGATTTCCAGGGTTTCCCGGTTTTGGAAACGATGTCATAGAATGTTAAAAGGGTAAAACTACCCTCTTTAAAAAGGGGCCTTAGCCGTCAAAAATATATCGTCCCCACAAAATTTTTTATAAATGTCCTCTGAAAAGGAAAAAAAAATCATATTTAAAATTAAAAAATTCCTTAGATAAATTTTTTAAACTAAATGTGCATCATGCAAAAAAGGTCTTAATTAAATCATATGAAGTGTCTCAACTCAAACATATCATTTTAAAAATTTAAGTCAAAATCTTAAGAAATAATAAAAAATTAGTTTTTACAAAAACATTAAAAAGTGTTTAAAAAATTCAAAAAATTAAAATTTACCCCCCCCAAAATTCAGAAAAAATTATTCATAAAATTTTTAAAATTTAATAACAAAGACTGAAAAACATTTTCCCCTTAATTTTTTCATATTTTAAAAACCCAATTTTTTTTCCCCCCCAAAATTTAAAGGGTTTAAAACCCACCCAATTTAAAATATATTTTCCCAAACATTATTTTAAACAAACCCTTTGGGGTTTTAAATGAAAGGATGCCCCACTCCTGGTTTTAATTTTTTTTCTCCAATCTTCCTTTATGAGGGGGGGACCTAACAAAAAAATTCCCAATTTTGTCGGGGGGGCCGTGCCCTAATCTATCACCTTCAAAACATTGGTTTGTAATTTTTATTCCCAAAACCCTTAAAACCTTTATAACCCCCAGAATTTAAAAGCCCCTTTTTGTTCCCCTGAATAATTTGGGTTTTCGTCATCCATAGGTTTTTATCTAAATTTGAAAAATTTTCTGAAACAAATTTAATTTTTTTTTTTCCCCTCAAAAAAATTTAAATTTGGATTAGAATTTGTAAGGGGAAAAAAGTTTTTGAAAATATTTTTTAAACTTTAAAATTTTAAAAATTCAAAAACCCCTGCCCTGTCTTTTCTAATTTCATCAGATTAGTCAATCTTTTTAAGAATTTCCCCCAAAAACATCTTTTTGATAAAAGGCCCCCCTGTAAATTTGTTTGTGGTTAAATCTATTGTTTTTAAAAAAAAAAAAAGATCTTTAGAAAGGGATGTATCAACATTTTAAAGTATATAAAAAAACCTGGGGTTTGTGATGGGGGCCCCAGTATTTTGGCCCACGCCCTCACCTTTTTATCACGTAAATCTGTTATTACTCCCATCAGATAGGGTGAATTTAAAACTATCCTGAGTTGTCTCCCTTCCATTGTGTAAATAGCACACATGATTTTCATAGATCTCTGTCATTGAGAAGACTTTTGTAGTTTTCCACTCCGAGTCAGTCAGATGCTGTATAGACCCATGACGAGGCGGTCTTGTGATTGTGAAGACCAGTGAATCCTCCTGCAAGGAAAAAAGTATTTTGTTCTATACAAGTTTAAATCAGTAAAGATTTTTGCAATACAACAGAAAGTACCAGAACTGATATGAATATTCCGCTTTAAAATTTCGGGTTTTTTTTTCATTCATTTTTGTTGGGATTTGAGTCACATCAAACTTGGATATATAGCGACTTTCCAGTTTACTGGTGGATGATGACCTCAGGCCCCCCTCACTGTCTAATTGCAGACAAAACAAGCACCAGAGTAGAACCAACAACCTTCCATAAGCTAGCTTTATACCTTCCTTGCCTGAAAGAATCCAGGATTTGAATCCACTGTGGTTTGGGCAAAGCAATCTGAAGTTGGCTACCTTAACCACTTGACTGCAGAGGCCCCTAAAAATCTCTAAAAAAAGAAACATAACTATGAAGGCAATACCAGCTGAAATTGGATATAAATATGCAACTGCATTCAGAAAACACCATCCGCGACAACATATACCCATAAGTAATGCAATTACAACTAGTAACATGTTGTATTTGAGTTTAAACATGCTGATTTGGAACACTTATAATGTGTGATTCTATAATGGTAAACTTTAATATGCATACATCTAAAGTACCATGGCTACAATTTATCTAGATAGCTACTGAGTCTATTGATCAAGATACAAGTCATAGAAGATTGCTATCAAACATGAGAAAAATCACGGGAAAACATGCCAACCTTGGTGTCCTCATCAGTAGCTTTCAGATCAAACTCTGATATAAGCTTTCTGAGACCTTCTTGTACTCGTAAAACACGTTTCGTTACAACAGGTATAGAGTCATCTACAGGGCTAATCTGTATGGTGAATGTACGTATAACTTCATTGGTGCCATCCGACACGGAGAACATGCAGGAGTCACGATGCTCCTCCGTCTCACTGGTATGTACATATTGTACTTGACTTCCGGCAATGTCTGCCTGGGTAAACTCAGAGATTGGTTTACCTGTAGGGTATTCAAATAAAAATTCATGGAAAAAAAATTAAAAGGAAAAAAGCCAGATCTTTGTTGAATGAAATAGATCCAAGATAAATTATAATTTTTAATTTTTTTTTATTCTCACTTAAATTTAGATTCAAAGAGAAATCTTAACCTTGACCCCCTGATTTGTGATTTTGTGATTTATTGTTAGGTTTTGATTTGGAACAGATCATTTATAAGGGGAAGTCATTATATGTTGTATACAGAAACACAAAAACAGAAAACACTTAGTTTATGAATGAGTGATATGGTTTATATCTTACTGGTGTAGTTTTTTTTAATCATTTTAGATATCTTGTAAAGATTATGTCCATATTTTATTTACATATATAGTAAAAAGTCATGTTTATAGTGAACAATCTTTTGATATTAAAAACATTTCAGACAAATGTATCAAGGTATAAAAACTGACCTGGATTTTTAGTTAGTTCGAAATGACCTAGATCAGGTTTCTCTATCAGTATATAGAGTAATGTAGCAGGCTCAGAATCATCATCAGTGAAGGACAGGTACTCTGTTGTTATGGTGATTCTTTCACCTTCTTTTACAACAAGTTCTTTGTTGGCAAGCTCCCTGGGTGGAGAACGATCATCTGGAAAATAAAGAAAACCAACATCAGTTTCACTTTTGTTTCTGCTTTAGGGCAAATATAATCGAATTGTATTAATTTATATAAATTTTACAAATCAAATCTTGTCCACAAATAAAGCTGAGATTGCCCATTTTCATTTAGTATCTCTTTTGACAAAAATACTTATCTTAAGTACATCAAAATGAAAGCAAAATGAATAAAATCTAGACCCATTTTTACTCCAAAATCTTCTTTATAATGGCATTTACCGTCGCCTATAAATATATATGCAAAGACACGAATTAACTGATGCAAAAACAAAACCTCCTTTACAGTGTGGTAAACATGTATACTTGCTAGATGAAAAGCATTTTGATAGTTTGGTGTGATGTTGCTTTAAAATTAGAGCAAGAGTTTTGTGATCAAATCAATGTGACAAATCATGACCAATTTACCTATTTCTAATGGTTAAAAAAGGATTGTGAAGTTCAGTATTTAGTATATTACCTAATATAGTAATGTAAAAGTCCTGGTCAATTAGATTATTGCCCTCCAAGTCAGACACAGTAAACTTGAATACCACATTCCCTGTGGTCTCTCCCCGTACATGCCGGAACTCTATGTTGCCTAGAAAAAAATATATAATTTTATTTAATATTAGAATAAAATGCTTTATAATATAAAATAAGCTTAAATACTCCATTCAAAATATAACGCTCTTCATGTTCTTCCTAACAAAACCTTCCACACAGGTATAAGACATAAACATTTTTAACGAATTGTGACTGATAAAAATACATGCATAGCGCTAAGAGCTCAACCAATAGAAATCATAATCAATTTAATTGAAATCTAGAAATTTTAACCTTACCATTATCAATACAAGCTTTGTGTGAAATGTTTCACAGTCTACACGACTAGTCCTGGGAGTTGATAAAGTAATAATCGGCGCGCAATTTTCCTGGATCTAAGGTCATTGTGTATATCAAGTATGAATCATCTGAGTCAACATCTGTTGACCTCAGGTCAGATGATGAAATTTTTGTTGTTGTACCTGCAAGATAAATACATGTAATGCTAAAATGTCATATAATAAATATTACTTGTTAGCAAGAAGCATTTAAAAAAAAAAACTTTTCCCATTATTTCTTAAAAAACTCAAAAGACTCCAAACAGTTTCTTAACTCTGGAAACACCAAATATTGAATGACTATTTCTTTTAATAAATCTCTCTTTACAGCATATTCGACCATGACACACGAAAACCATGAAGAAGAACAACTAAAAATTACTATAATGCAGTGGGTTTTAGAGTACTTGTTAAATAAAACAACTTGTAATCTAAATCTTCTATCTCTATATGTATATATATCTCAAATTCCTGGAGGCAACAGATTCTACACATGCAACCACTGCACATTACACTGTGACATCTCGAATTATGGTCTGCATTGTTTGCTATGTTAGCCACGTACAATTATTTTGGAAATTTTTCATAAACCAGGATAAATGGTTATGTCCCAATACATGATTGAACAAGTCCATTTAAGAAATAAGGGTTTGATAGAAGGGGAAGAATGGACCTGTCCGTTTTTTCTCATATTCTGCCACAATGCAGCACCCTTTTTCCAATTCATTGTCAGGATCAGACTGCTCACACATACAGTATCATCACAAAACATAAGCATGTGTTCTTATTTTGTGCAAACAAGGTCCAACCAGTGACTATGTATTATCTCACGTATAGCGATTGGAATAAAGCAATTTACATTAAACTGTAAACTGGATATATATCTCAGACCATAGTAATCGTGGTGTCTCATCATAATATATAAAAATAACAGGTATACTATTGTATCTGTGAAGTTGCCGTCGGTTACAAGTGAGGGAGAACAAAGTCCTAAGTTACTGATCCCTCCATCTATGTACATATAAATCAGCTACTTCAAGTAATCCTACCCCAAGTAGATGTAATCAAAATAAGTTTTAATATTGCTTATAACAAATATAATACAAATATAAACCTATAAGTTTATCACATTCAAAATCATACATAGTATGACTGCAAAATTGAATAAACATATTTCTTGTATTGTTGGTGTTTTCAAGGCAAAATGGCCTCTATAAGATAATATCCAAAATTAATGCCACTCTCAAAATCAAATGTTCATGGCAATAGAGGGATTTCAATGTATCAGAGTAAATCAACCAATGTCCAAAAGACAATGTAAACAAATACCATACATCCCTTCTACCATAACAAAATTAGCACTCAATAGTCTTTGAGTTCCAGAATGAAGAGCAAAGATACACGAATATATAATGCCTTCCAGATAATAGTTCAGCTGTTCCATAAAAAGAAAAAAGAAATTAATGTTTTTTTCAAATGTTGGTTCAATAAAGCACTGGAGTTTTAATAATATCTAAAATCATAAAATTAAAATCATTAACGATTTGGAATAAACTCATTAAAAATTGTATGTAACGAGATTTATTACCTGGTAATGTAATTTAACATCTTTTTTACAGCACAAACTGCCATGTCATGTCAGGCTGTGACCTTGTTCTTTTTTCTTTCAAGGTCCCTACAAATAGAAACACAAGGCGTATATACAACTTAATTGACTTAACAGCATACAAAATTTCTAGAGAAAATGACAAAATAATAATTCAGATCATCTATAATCATATGTAAATATTGTACAGCTTAATTGTCTAAAATACAGAGATGTACAATTGCAACTTGGTTTTTATTAATAAGATTAAAAAAAAAAGATTTAACATCGTATCCATAATTCAGCACATCGATGTATTATTTGTGGAAAGAGATTGAAAAACAGCAAAACTTATTTAAATCCAAATCTAATAAAGATAAAAAGGGATATTGTTAGAGCTAAGAGAAGTAAATTAAACTGTCAAATGAAAAACAAATTAACACATCTAAGTAATTTATTTTAGTGGACCTTAAATATTTGGGCACTGCACCCTGCTTACTAGCATTAATTATTTTCAACTCCATTGGGAAAAAGCAATTTTTCTTGTATTTTTATATATATCTTTTTTGGCTCATTTTTCTGGCCTTTATTTAGTACTGCTTCCCCATATGTGGAAAATATGGTTTTAAGAAGTAAGGGGGCTTGAAGCAAGGATCCCTTAATGGTTGAGAGGCAAGACACCTTAACCACTATTCACCTTTCACTATTCCTTCACAGGCGTTAAATACCTACCCAAATCGTCAAATTCCAGACAGCTTAAATCGCTGTTTTCTTTAAATCATTATAAGAAATAAGTAAAATGTAAAAATTTACCAAATGTTCCGGGGGTGATTGTAAGGAATAATGAAAATCTGGCCTTTAAACTAGTGGGTCCAGGTCAGTGTATAAACAGAAAGCATTGGGGTCACAGGGAATCTGTTGCCTTCCGGACAAACACCTGTTTTCTGAAAAACCCCGAGGTGGTCATCATTATTAAGCTTAAAATATAAAATGGGTACTTTTGTTCTATATAAAGTGCTATGCAAATAAAAATTTGTGGAACCACATGATTCAATGGAAGTTTTAAATACCAATTAGATTAAAATATTAAACATTGGAACTATCCAATTAATAAAATTTTTCATTTTTCAAAATTTCATGATATCAATAAATGCAATGGTGCTTAAAATTTGAACTAAAATCTATAGGATTTTATGTACAAGGGTATTGAAACCCAAAAAAACTCTGTCATTTTTGAGTAGTACTATATGGCATATGCAACTTCCTTGAATTTCTTGAAAAAACAAAACCATTATCATACATTTTATTGTTTTCTTTTTCATCATTTGCCTTAAAATCTTCCAGGAAAAATAGACATTCTTTTCTTAAGTCCTACTATTGACAAAGTAACACTTAAGAAATATCTGATATTTTACACACCATTATTGAGATATTGAAAAGATGGGAAGGTGATCTGTTCTTTCCATCCTCTATGTGGAACAGGAAGTGGTCTCTGATTGGTTCCTTGTTCAAGTTGTCAGACTGGATATAGATTATGTAGTTATCTAAGAGGTCTGATACAGGAAAAGATAAAACCAGTCTGTCCTCCAATAATTCTGATCCTTCAACTGTAAATGAAATAATATTTTATGCTGACTAAATTGAAATGCACATATTGAATTAACATCCTGAAATTTTATCATTTTTAGGTTTGTCAAATATTGAACTTTTTCTGTAACACAATGATTTTGTCATTCAATTCAGAAAATTACCTTACAATTAAGTTACAAATCTGGCTTTCGTTTCATGGAAAGTCCTAAATTAAGACAAAGAAAATGTCCTAACTTATGACTTTTATGTTGAGACTCTTCAATTTCTGAATAGCAGAGCAGATGAACATTTACATATTGCGGATTGAACCCCTTATCATTGTATTTTGTAACTTTTTTCAGGAGAATGAATTAAACAAAAGTCTAAAACTTTTACTAAAGATGAAAATATTTATTGAAATAGTCTTAAGTTAGTCCTACAGTTTGTCATAAGTCATAGGATACACTTAGGAGTTTCTATGAAACAAAGCCCTGTAAATATATTTGTATACATGTATATAGTTTGTGAACACAATGTAAACACTGACTTACAAAATTTAAAAAAACAGGCACAACCCTGCTAATTCAAATTCCTTCGTAATTATGTCATAATAAATGAAAAATATACACACTAAACAATTCCAATACAAATTTATTTGTAACATTAATATCAGCAATTTACTTTAAAACAAAAGTTTACCTGGTGCAATATCCTTAATGACCCCAAATCTTGGCTGTGTTTCTATGACAACAATAAGGTCATCTAAAACAGTGTCAGGGTCAGATATCTCAAGGTTATCTGCTGTTAGGATAACTTGTCCTCCTTCTTGAACCTTGAATCATTGACATAAAATTTACATAAATTTGTTAGATAGTCTATAGAATTGGGTATATTCTATTATAATATTTTTAAAAGCAAATATTATTTACATTAACTTAACTGAAAACATGTCCCTAGAAACACTTAAATTTAAAATATGTAGTTTTATTTTCTAAAAATCTATTCTTTTCTACACAAGATAATCAAAATGGTAAATTAAGAACAAAAAACATTCTAAAATTAAGTGACTGACCTTGACCCCTGATATGACCTTGACCACTGGTGGGAGATTATTGTCAGGTTCAATGAGTACAGTGAGAGTCTGTTCAGGAAGGATATTTCCACTGGTGTCTGTTACATTAAAAGTTAGAAGTTCTGTCACACATTCATCACCAATCTCTGAATCTGCTAGGAAACTGAAATATATATGTATCATCTACATTGGTATTTGTGAGTGAAAATATCACAATGGTTTTGCAAAAACACTCAAAAGAACTTTGCAGCTTTTGACTGGAAAAAAATCCACATATTTTATTTCAATTACAAACATTAAATTCTCACCGGAGTCATATAGAATTTAAAACATGCAAGTTAAAGACAAATGAATTTAAAAGAAAGAAGTTAAACAAGGGTGCCATAGTCACAAAATACGCCCGTTTACGAAAGCTTTAGATGGAGATGGGGGCATTATGGATAAGTGTTATCTAGCAAGCAAGTTTTTATTCTTGGCACTGTGTTGTTAAATGAACCTTAAAACAAATCAGTAGGGAAGATATGCACAGGATGTGTGACCTTGACCTTGGTCGCAGGGACCTGAATTTTATGCACGGCACTCAGCCTCACAATGATGAACATTTGTGCCAAATTATATTGAAATCCCTCTATGCATGTAAAGTTTTTGCTCTCCAGACAAGCGTTTTTCAATGAGCTCTAACTGTGACCTTCACCTTTGACCTAGAGACTTGGTTCATGTGCAGGGCACTACGTCTCATGGTGGTGAACAATTCTATAAAGTAACATTAAAATCCTCCATGCATGTAGAAAAATATGCTCCGGACAACATCTGGATATTTAATCATCTCCAGTGACCTTGACCTTGCAAATATTAACCTAAATTAAATGTGTCACACCTGTAGTCATGATAGTTACCATTTGTGCTACAATCCATCAATAAATGATGACTAAATGGTCCCTATACACATCTTCAAATTTTTTATCTGAACTTTGACCTCTATGTGTAACCTTGACTTTGGTCGCAGGGATCTGAATTTTGCGTGCGACACTCAGCCTCAATAATGGTGAACATTTATGCCAAGTTATATTGAAATCCCCCTATGAATGAGAAGTTTTGCTCCGGACAAGTGTTTTTCAATGAGCTCTAAGTGTGACCTTGACCTTTGACCTGGAGACCTGGATCATGCATGGAGCAATACATATCATGGTGGTGAACATTTCCATAAAGTATTATAAAAATTCTTCCATACATGTAGGAGATATGCTCCAGACAAAATCTGGATATTTCACCATCTTTAGTGACCTTGACCTTGCATATATTGACCTAAAGTACATGTGTTTACAGCCGTAGTCATGGTAATGACCATTTGTGTTACATCCCTCAATAAATGATGATTAAATCGTCCCTATACACATCTTCATATTTTTATCTAAACTTTGACCTCTATGTGTGACCTTGACCTTGGCTGCAGGGACCTGAATTTTGTGCGCGACACTCCGCCTCACAATGGTGAACATTTGTGCCAAGTTATATTGAAATCCCTTTATGCATGTGGAAGTTTGGCTCCGGACAAGCGTTTTTCAATGAGCTCTAAGTGTGACCTTGACCTCTGACCTAGAGACCTAGTTCATGTGCGTGACATGGCTTCTCATAATGGTGAACATTTCTATGAAATTTCATTAAAATCCCTCCATGCGTGTAGGAGATATGCTCCGGACAAAATCTGGATATTTCATCATCTTTAGTGACCTTGACCTTGTATATATTGACCTAAATTATATGTATCACAGCCATAGTCTTGATAATGACCATTTGTGTTACAATCCTCAATAAATGATGACTAAATGGTCCATATACACATCTTCATATTTTTATCTGAACTTTGACCTCTATGTGTGACCTTGACCTTGGCCGCAAGGACCTGAATCTTGCGCGCGACACTCCGCCTCACAATGGTGAACATTTGTGCCAAGTAATATTGAAATCCCTCTATACATGTGGAAGTTTTGCTCCGGACAAGCATTTTTCAATGAGCTCTAAGTGTGACCTTGACCTTTGACCTAGAGACCTGGTTCATGTGCTCGACACTGCTCCTCATAGTGGTGAACATTTCTATGAAGTTTCATTAAAATCCCTCCATACATGTAGGAGATATGCTCCGGACAAAATTGGACGCCGCCCGCCCGGTCAGGGGCGTTCCCATAATACGTCCCGTTTTTCAAACGGGCGTATCAAAAGTACATGTATATTCAAAATCTTGTACAAAGACAATGTATGAACATGCAAAAGTACTTTTATAAAATGTAGAACAAGATGGCTAAATACGATTCATTTTACAAATGTAAGCTTTCATCTGTGTATAGACAAAATAATGTGAATATTTGCAATGAATATTCAAAAGCTGATCAACTAATAAAGCCGTTATATTTCTTTATATATCAAAACTTAACATGAAATTTACCTCAACAGTTGGTTGTTAATGTCAGCTTGTGTGAATACATCTCTAACTACAACCTGCTGGTTGCTAAGCAACAGTTTACCATGTGTGGGTTCCATGGTTAGTATAATGTTGAGATTATAGTCCTCATCATCACTGTCAGTAAATGCAAGACTTGTCTTGTCACAAATTTGGATGTTCCTGAAAAAATCATAATATAGCTTGGGGCATGACAAAAAAACATAAGGTTCTGATTAAATTTCTTCTTTATAGAGTTTTAGTTTTTTTTTTGAAAGGGAGCCTAGATTTTCCCCGTAAACTGTTTTAGTAGAAAAAACTGATTGAAATGGCAAATTAGTCTTTTTTAACAAATGGAAACCAAAAAAAATTCGATTTCCCCAATAAAAAGACAAAATTTAAATATCGACTGTCTCTATTAAACAGAAGTATTTCAGAAAAGTAGAACAGTCTATTTCAGCCATAAGTTATCCATATTCAAAAATGAAAATTATTAGCACTAAAACAAAAACAAAACTAACCTTCTCTGACAACCAGTCTACATATAGCAGACGGCAACATGAATGGAGCAGACTGGTCCACTCTCATCACTGTGATATCAATGGAGGTTGATGTAGAATGTTCCCCGTCACTGACCGATAACTGCATGGTGTCGTATAATCCTGCAGAGCCGTCATGCTGGTACTGAAACACGTTCATCTCAACTTCAGAATATGTGAATGTGTCGCCTGAAATGAGAAATACAAAAACAAATAGTATTTAACTAAGTCACAGAGTTCTGTTATGTTTCATGCATTTTATCAACAATATTCTATTTTTGAAAAAGAAAAGATTCAGATTAAAAGCAGACTACCTCTTAATTCATATTACATTAGTTTTTAAAAGCTACAAAGAAACTAGAAATGTGTCATCATGCCACGGATGCCCCCGCATGCAGCCAAAATTTCAGATGGTGCATTAATTATTTTTTTCATTTTAAGTTCAAAGCCCTTAAAACTTTTCAATGTTAACACTAACCATTTTCATACAATGTTCAAGGCACTGAAATAATTCAGTCTTAACCTTTTAAAAATAGCATATTGCATATTTGTAGCCAAAATAATGGCTAAAAGTATGAGTGCTGAAACTGAAAGTTCAAAAATTTTCCAACATTCAGGAAAGATAAGTTTGTCTATAATCATTGAACCACGACCAAATTCAAACTTAAACTGCTTATTCCTTAGATGTATCTATATTATTTTCAAAAAGAAAGGGACATAACTCTGCCAAAAAATCATTAAACCATGACCAAATTCCAACTTGACCTGCCCATTCCTTTGACATATCCATATGTCAAATTTAAGTTGAATATGTAACACTGTTGGGTAAATAATGAACAGAAACTGTAAATTTCATATTATTTTCAAAGTGAAAATGGCATTATTCTGCCAAAAATCATTGAACCATGACCAAATTCGAACTTGGCCTGGGCATTCCAAAAACATATCCATATGTCAAATTTGAGTTGAATGTGTTGTACCATTGGGGAGATAATAAACGGAAACTGAAAATTTCATATTATTTTCAAAGTAAAAGGGGCATAACTCTGCCAAAAATCATCGAACCATGACCAAATTTGAACTTGACCTGTATTTTCTTATGACATATCCATATGTCAAGTTTGAGTTGAATGTGTTGTACCATTGGGGAGATAATGAACGGAAACTGAAAATTTTATATTATTTTCAAAGTAAAAGGGGCATAACTCTGCCAAAAATCATCGAACCATGACCAAATTTGAACTTGACCTGTATTTTCTCATGACATATCCATATGTCAGTTTGAGCTGAATGTGTTGTAACCGTTGGGGAGATAATTAACGGAAACTGAAATTTCATATTATTTTCAAAGTAAAAGGGGCATAACTCTGCCAAAAATCATCGAACCATGACCAAATTCGAACTTGACCTGTATTTTCTCATGACATGTCCATATGTCAAATTTGAGCTGAATGTGTTGTACCGTTGGGGAGATAATGAACGGAAACTGAAATTTCATATTATTTTCAAAGTAAAAGGGGCATAACTCTGCCAAAAATCATCGAACCATGACCAAATTCGAACTTGACCTGTATTTTCTCATGACATATCCATATGTCAAATTTGAGTTGAATGTGTGCAACCGTTCTTAAGATAATGAACGGAAACTGATGATGACGGAATGACAGAATGACGGAAGGATGGAAGGACGGAAGGATGGAAGGACGGAAGGACGGAATGACGGAACAGGGTAACACTATATGCCCCGGCCATTACATGGCGGGGGCATAATTACATGGCGGGGGCATAAATATAGTTTAGAAGAGTTAATGAATGTCACAGCATATCTCATTACATTCTAAAAAATATTCAAAAATTCATCAAAATCTTATCCTTGTCTATTTTACCTTGTCTGACAATTGCTTTGAGTCCTTTTTCAACTTTCTCCAGTTTTCCATTATGAGGAGCTCTGGTCAAGGTCACTGTAAGGTCAGATTTGGGCGTGTCTTCATCAACCACACCCACTACAGAAGGACCAATGGGAATGTTTCCACCTTGAGAAACACGAAGCCTTGGTATGGATGACATGAACTGAGGATGTTTATCATTGACTGGTACCAAAATAATGGAGAATTTATGCTCCTGGACTGGTACATCAACTTCCTCGTCCGTTACTGAAACAATACAAATGTAATAAGTTATTCCCTATCAAATAACATTATCTATCAAAAATAATATACAACATAATTTCAACTAAAATGTGCCCACAGGACATGAATGCCCTTTCATTCATTCCACAGTTTTGTCAGGCTAAGGACAGGCTAAGGACAGACAGCCTGACAGATGGGCAAGGGTAAATTTATATGATCTTAAAAAACTGAATTTTAAACTCAGAATAATGAACTCTTGCAGCATCATTAGTTTTTGTTTGGCACTTGATCTCCCAATAGAACTGAACATGTAAAACCAACACTTTTCTCATGAAAATGTGTCCAATATAGAATCATCTTAATATCAATAAAAGATAGAAAATGCCACAAACATTTATACAAGAATCTCTCATCTTGAAGACCAAGCACACATTATAATGCATATCAGACTTAAAGATCTCTGTTTTTCTATTTTCAATAGATTTTGATATGTAGATTGCAATAAACACAAGAAAGTGTTTAGATGTCTTCATTTGGAAAAAAAATGCAATTAAGAAAGTTGTTTTTTCCCCCATCACGCGATAGGCAATTTCTGCCACCCTTTTCACCAATGACATAGGAATATCCCTACCTACCTAAGACTAAACAAATGAATGTAGAATTTACCTGTGAAATAGAAGAAAACCTCCTTCTCCTTGTAACCTAGTTCTGCCTCTGGTGGTCTATAAATAATCCTATTATTATTCACATCATCTTGTGTAAAACTCGTCAACACCTGTGTAGGTCTCTCAATGTGTTCTATAATACCATCATGGAGTCTAAGAGGGCGTGTTATTGTGAAGAGTATCCCAGCAGGGCCTGTGTCCCGGTCTATAAAACTCAGGCTAGTACTTGTTATTGGAACCAGCTGTTGTTCCATAACCTGAAAAATATAGAATAAGGAGTGTGCTCAGTCTGCAAAATTCGATCTTAAAATCAGTCTGCAAAACTACTTGAGGATTTAGATGAAATAAGATGAACTAGCTTGAAAATCACAGGACAGTCAACGAGTTATTTCAGGTACAACCATTTCATATATATCGTTTTCATATATTTCATACACAATTTCAAATTAGGCTACACAAGATACAAAACCAGTATGATTGAAATCGATACAATGTGATGAAATTAATATATCAACACAGCATAAGAATTTCACAATAAGATTTCACTTCCATTTTGGAGTCTTTTACACCTTATTAAGTTGAGGATTATTAGTAGTGATATTTGTTAATAACAGACAAGAGTCAATACAGTCAAACTTCGTTCGCTCGAACTCGGAGGGCCTGTGCAAATTTGTTCGAGAGATCGGTAGTTCGAGCCAACCGAGGTCGAACTATTATTACGTTGACCATATGCCTTAAGGTTTATAGCATACATTGGTCGAATGATAAATACGTAAATATCATTGTTTGTTAGTACATTTGTTCGTCGAATATGTTACATTCAGAATTATTATCCCAGTGTTTTCAATTAAGTATTAACGGTATGTTGTGTTAATCTATATTCATGCATCTTGTAATTGGTTGAGTACGATTGGGCAATCAGACCAAACTTGTTGAACAATGTTCAAAATATATTTATATGTTTATAATGGGATTTTTTAATTTTAAAAAATAAATGAATGAAATATTTAAGAAAAGTTTTACAGCACCATTTATTTGTAGTCATTTACTTAAATAAACACACATACAAGTATCATTCTATAAAAACATAACACTATTACAATTCATGTTACATGAACTACGGTTGTACTTAAAGCCGTCCGGATAAACGTCATTCTTTATTGACTTTTGCATATTTCACTTATTTCACAAGACATTAGTTCTTTTCTTTTTATCATTACCATAAACGGCAAATAAACAATATTATTGTAAAAAACAAATCGGTTACAACACCTCTTATTTTGTATCAATTAACCTTATTTGCCTTTGTCATAATCACGAGGTGTTAAAAACATGTGTCGCCGGCTGTCATTTATTTAGGACATGTCGACTTGTCTTTTTGTGTTCGACCGAAAAGGTGTGATTTTCACTATATATCTGCCGAAGGGACCAGAGTTCAGGTTCGAGAGTTCGAGCGATCGGTGTTCGAGCGATCCGAGGTAGAACAATCTATATTATATAGGAATTTTGCCGGGACTGGGCGATGTGTTCGAGCGAAGGGAGGTATTCGAGCCATCCGAGTTCGAGCGAACGAAGTTTAACTGTATTTGATATACATCTCTTTAAATGCTAATATATTTACATACCCGTATTCCTAGTGTAGCACCATTAGATAATGTAGGATGTGTGGTCGGTCCTGGATACTTCTTTTCTCTCACAGTAATCTTGAAGGTTTGATCTGTTAGAACCCCCACTGCTGAATCCATGTCTGCCACCTGTAAACAGAAATACAGTGATTTGAATAATTGAAGACTATAACTGTAGATATTTGGTTTGGTATTAAATCACATAGGCAATGTAAATGTTACATAGCAACATTTAAGCTTTATTGGTAGAGGAAGACCTCAGATGTCCCTCCATGACCCTAAGCATTATATCAGGCACACACAGGCATCAACTAAGTTCAAACCTTGACAAATAATGTAAATAATCCTGACTTTGTTTAAACATATAATTTTATTAAATTATAAAATACGGGTAAACTACGGTACCCGTAATTAAAAACATCCATGTACCAGTATCTTAACTTTAATTTATATTCTATATTGAACAATTTTTTATACCTTTATGCTAAGATTTTACTGTTTATATGGCATTTTTTCACTACTTAACATGTCATTTACTGAACGTTTAACTTCTTGTGTATAGTTTTTTTGAAACATAACGGAACAAGGCTGCACAAAACTTTGTACCTCAAATTTGATGATATCTGTAAGGGCCGCAGATCCTTTATTTTTATACCAGATTCTGCCCTCATCTATATCTCTCTGTAAGAACCTGGTCATTCTGGCAGCCATGTTACCATCACCAAGGTCCTCCCAGCCGTGCCCGACACCCGTGGGTGGTATTGGTACTACCATCATAATCTCACCTAAAGACCAATGTCAGAAAATTCAGAGTGATGCCATTTGAAACATTTGAAAGTACATGTATCAATTAATCAAAATTATCAAAACTGTTGACAACTGTATCTCCTGCTCTAAAAAATATAACACATCTTAATAATATCAATAAACACATGTAAATCTATAACTGAAAATTGATAATAGACTTTTCATCAACTTCATCTGATAAGCAAATGAAGGAAATGGACTGCAACAACCCATAGGCCTTTCGACTTATTAAATCGGTTAGATTTTTGGTAACATCAACAATTTTTTTAAGGTCATATCCCAACTTTCCAGTCAGGTGCTCTTCTGTGCATTATCTAACGCTCAATCATGTATGTGGGTAAAACCTTCTTTTGCTAGTTGGATAGCTCCTAAAATGGTCTATGGGACAACAGTTAAAAAGTAAAACAGGTGTCAAGCAAGTGGCTCAAAATGACCGACAACAACCACTTGATTACAGGGGCATGCTATATACAAATGTATGTACATGCTTTATTTACTCATGCAAAGAGATTTAACAAGATCATACCATCTGATGGATTATTGAGAGGGGGAACCAGGGTATACACAACTTGCTCTCTGCGGGAACCAGCTTCTGACATGACCTTGGCCAACAGAAGGTCAGGTGATATCTGTAATTTTTCCCCCAGTATTACATGACCCACTTTGTTGTGCATCAACACTGGCCCATGATTCTCCTAAAACAAGAAACAAGTATGAAATATTCTCAATTCTCCATATACTTCAAATAAATATTACAGCAAAATTAAAATTTTAAATGGCAATAATTCTACAAGTATGATTATTTCCTTGCTAATATTCTTTGAAATCGCAATAAATTAGCTTGTTTTTCTTACTTTTATATTTCAACAATGTTAACAATTGTCATCAAAATTAATATTTCACATCAGGGGAAAATTTTATTGCTAATTGCCTTACATCAGTGTGAAGACAATATGTGAGCAAAACATCGGACACTACTATAAATGTTTAATTTTTTAAAAGTTATGAAATAACATTAAAACTGATACAAATCAATACACCATTAATACCTTCTCTCTAACTTCTATATGGAAGAGGAAAGTGATCAGATGGAATCCATCAGAAGCTTGCAGGAGCACAGTATCTTGTCCTTGACGACCTTCAGGATTATGTTTGTACCCTATGACCCTTGACCTTAGATCACTCAATGTGAACATTCGAACAGGTATTCTCAAATTGCTGTTGTACAGTGTACCCTCTTTTGGACCTAGAAAAATGACATGGATATCATTTTGCTGCAAGATACTATGATAGTATGCAATTATCAAGATGTTCCTTACTTTTTTTGACACTTCAAATCAACAAGTTGTATGTTCATTTCAAGACATGTTTCAGAAGATGATAAACTCACAACTTTTTTAGCATATACATATGTAAATAACATTTCACTACTTATTTTCTAAATAACCAAGATATTTGCCTAAAACATCTGCTTTCCTTTGGTTCAAACACTATTCACGATCAAAATATACATACCTTTCAAAACAGTCATTTTCACATTATCTGGACTTTCCAATGTTATAAGGTCAAGGACATCTGGAGAAATGTAGGTCACATCAGCTTTAGTTGCTATGAGAAACGACCTTGTTGCTATGGAAATTGCTGATGGTAGTATGGCTTGGAAATACAGGTACCCTTGGTGGCTGTTTAACTGGGAGTCAGTTACTTGTAGTGTAGCTTTTCCTGTTCAAAGGAAAAATAACACTTGAAAATATACCTAAGTTTCATAGCACACTGACAAAGTGGGTCAGTTTGGAAACCCTCTGGGTTTAAAGAATGTAAAGCACTTAAGATACAAACAAGTAAATTACTAAAGCAAAAGGTATATTGTTGGGAATGTAAATGTTTAGTTGGATTAAATTCAATTAGAAACTTTTAACATTATAGCAAGATGGTGTATTGTTCTAAATAAAATAACCAACCTTTGAAAGCTTTTCCAGCATGGTGCCTAAACCTGACCTTGCCCATCATCAGGTCAGCAACACTGATGTTTAAACCTGCTTTGACCTCTACATCTTTACCCTCAATGACCTTCACAAGGTCACCATTGGTAGGTGATGTTACTATGACAACAAAAAGGTTCTCAATTGCTGTATCAGTGTCCGAAATGTAGAACAGGCCAAGATGTAGAGGAACAATACCTCCATCCTCCACCTCAACATGGTTTAATACAATAAACACTGGTGCTTCTGTGTTACCTGTTAATGAACAAATAAATATTATTTCAACTATCTAAATGCCCCTGGCAACATCTGACAAGCTTTTGTCTTACATATTAAATGTAGAGAGTAGAATCAGGGCAGTCTGATTGATCAGACTTAAAATATGACATACTATTATATAGCACTTACGTTGGCATTCTCTTGTTTCCATATTTGGCATAAAGCCCTGCCCACATTCTGTGACACACCCACCATTCTTGAGGAACGTCTCACTATTACATACACTACATTCTTTCTCGCTGTAACAACGCAGACAGTCCTTATTACAATCTACAATAAAACAATCAAGATTTACATATAAAATAAAAAAAAGAAATTAAGATTTCTGAATTCTTCTTAATTTTAAGTAACTATAGTTATTTATTGTATCAATTTCTTCTCTTTCTCAAATAAGAAAAAAGTTTAAGCAACTAAATAATGTTTAATTACTTCTTTAAAAACGGGAGAATATTTTAGTTTCAGTGAATTGTTAAATGCAATTACTATACTCTAACCCAAAAATAAAGATTTGCAAATGATAGAACTTAGTCATTTTTGTTATATTGAAATTCAACATAAACAATCTCTAGACCAAAAATAAAACTTTGCAATTAAGCAATGTAAGCGTACCTTTACAAGCTAGAGAAGAGCCATCTTCAAACTGTCCTTGTGCACACCTCTCTACACACAGGCCCCTGTATATCAACATGTCAGACCCACATTTTGTACATCCAGTTGGAGATGTGCATGCCAAACAATTCTCTCCACAATCTGTAAATTTTAAATCATAAAATTGATTTATATCAATCAAATATGATATAGATACATTTAAGAATTTAATTTCTTTTTGTCTTAAACTGCGGAATAGATTAGTTTATTAGTTTAGTTTAGTTTTTACAAATATATTTTAGTTTGATTGTGTTGGAAGCTTTAAGCTTATTGAAACACTCTCAAATCCATTCCTGGAACCAACCAGTACTAAGCAATGAATGTAAAGTTTCTTGATCAAGGAAACAACTGCTTGCCCCTGACAGGGTTTGAACCCACGCAGTCAGCAATCCTTAGATTACTAGTCCAACACTTTAACCACTTGGATACGCTGCCACTCATAAGATAAGTTCATTGAAGTTTTGATAATATAAACAACAATACCTTTACAGACTTTGTACTCCTGGAATTGTCCTGACGGGCATTCTTCAATACACTCGCTACCGGAGGGTAACAGGTCTCTATCGTCACATGTACTACATATAGACGTCTCACCGTTCCATGATTCATGACATTCTGAACAACCAGTCTCACAATCTGAAATATATACATACATGTAATTTGCACCTACAATGTACTTTACTTTAGCACAATGGAGGGAGCTTGTCTTGTTTTTTTTTCATTAAGAGTAAATTATCTCACAATTATAACATAATGAAACTTTCATGCAGTTTTTTTTCTATAGACAAGGGCAATAACTCCTCTTTTTAATTCAGAAATTTAAATTTAGGTCATATATTTATGCTATACTATGTGCTCCAATGTTTTTTTCAAACTGTAACGGTTCAACACTATGTCAATTTCATGATTTTATGCTGTGAAGCCAACAATTGGGGAACAATAATTCTAACAAATCAAATATTTAATTATTCATTTGAACATGAATTGTTTTTTCAACTCACTCTTGCAGGTGCCATCTACAGACATGTATTTCCCCTTCTCACATACACTTCTACATTTGCCCTTCTTGCTGATACGGGAACCAGGATAACAGGACGTACAGTTCTTACTGTATCCTCCACTACACGATTCACAAGCTGGGTGACAAGCTGAAAATACATCAGAAATTTTATTAACTTAATTTTAGGGGAAAAAAAGAACATGAAGAAGATTTATTCATGTATAGTCATCAAAAATTGTGTATGCACCATTGCTGAAAGACATGAGACACAAAACATTGCAAATTTTTCTTTTAAAAAATGATTTCTTTTGGGAAAGCCGAAAAGTTATTCTCATTTTGCACCTACAGCACATGTTTAATTCTTTCATCAGATCAATGCAAGTTAAACTCAAACTCCAAAAGTAAATTTTCTTGTATACTGTCAGACTTATAATAACCTAACTATCTTTTCATAATACTCATATAAACAACAAGACATACGTGAGCAGGAGCCATCTTGGTTGGCATAGAAACCAACAGAACATCTTGTTACACACTGACCGAGATGTAAGAAACCACCTTGCCAGCATGAGTCACAGGCAGATCCGTCTGGTGTACAGGTTTTACACGTCGGGTGGCAGGCTGAAAAATAGACCATCGCACTACATTACATTTGTTGCATTTTTTTTTATATCAATAATCTACTTTTATCAGTTCTCCTTAAATTGTTCACTTTCACAAACGCATTGACCTGAATCATTATCTGAATAAATTTGTGCAGTGGACCAGTCCTGCCATAAAATTGGACCATTTACTAATATTAAAACTAAGGCATATATAATCTGGTTGGACCACAATGAAGTGCGGACTGGATTTAACACTGGTTACATAGGCAAGTCAATATTGCTGGTGACATTTAATATTCATACTATTCCAACAACCAGACAAACATGTATAAATCATCACTTTGGAAAACAGTCAACATACAGGTAATCTTTCTCTATCAGATACTTTTTTTTTTTAATTTTCTAATTCATTTAATTTTAGTGTAACATCAATTCATTTTTCAAAACATGAATTTCAACTTGACTATGAAACAGGTTCTCTTTATTTAATCACTTTGATATCCATTTTCCAGACATAACCAATACTAATATCAGTCTTGAACTGAGTAAGGCCCAAACTTATGATCCATGGGCTGAGAGGCTGACACATAATCCTCTAGGCTTGCTGCTCACTTGTTTTTGAGAGACCATATTTGTCATTATTTAGATTATATTTATCAATTCAATAAATTCATTTCAACCTATAATCCCTGAACCATTATAGAAATAAACAAGAGTTGTTTATTTTTCAATTTCCTGTACAGGCACTATTGAACACAATTTCAAATAAACAAATATCATTAATTCAATCAAGAATTGTAATTAAAGAAAATGACATAATATTCAATATTCTACAATTAGAAAAAAAGTTTAATTTCCTCATAATCAATTTCCATAACAAACCGACAATCAGTTTACGGAGAGAACAAAACTTCCTGTGACATTTTTTATGAAGAAAAAAAACAATCAATCTTTCAAGCTATGCTCAAAATATGAAGCTGGAAAGCTGTGTATCATGTTCATATTGAATGAATTTTACATTTTGATGAAATTAAGTCACAACTTGTAAAAGACAGGTAATTTTGCATATGGGAAACTAGTGTAGTGACTAATACAGTCACATGCTCAATAAGAGTGGCTTTAAATACAGGTTTTTCTGAACAATAATTCATTGTATTGGTGGATAATTCCATATGTGGCTTGAATGAAGCTTAAAACATGGTCTTACTATGAGTAAAAGTAAAAATCCCAATTCCAGGTCATTTTGCACCATAAAAATAATTATTCAGAAACAGATAGAGCAAATAATCTGAAATTTTGCACACAGTAATTGGTTTACACCTGTATCAGATGGTATAAAAAAGTCTCCAAAAAAAAAATTCCAGTCTAATCATGTGAAAAATTCTTCAGTGGAATACTTTTAATAAAGGTCTAAAACTTTAGACTCCTGCCACTCCGGGTTCATAGTGAAATTCTAAAAAGTTACTTATAAATGGAAGTGTATAAATTTGTTATACTAATTAGCAGGATGCTAAGTACATTGTATAAGATATAAGTTATACCTATACATTTTCCTGATCTGATGTAGAAGTTATCTGGACATTTATCCAGACACGCACCATGAAACACGACCTGGGCGGGGTTAGTACATGACACACATTGGTCTGGGCGTGGCCCATTACAACTCTTACATGATGCTGCACATTCTGAAATACATCAAAATGATTTCAGTAAAAATGTTTAAAGTAAGACTTGATTGTAAGAATAGAAATTGTTCTTTTCAACATTTTAAAACGGCTGAAATTAAGGTTAAAAATGTATTTTTAGCTCCATTTTTTGTCATAGACAAATGCATTTAAACAGACTTCAGAAATTTTACTTTCTTCGACCTACTGTTCCTCCTATTTCGGAATTCATCTAGCTATAACATTTGTCCTGTATACAAGGGCTATCATCACTGCAAGAAATTTATCACTATATTAAAGCCTTGAGACTTAGCAAAATAATATTTGTTATCAATAACTTGGACAAAATACTTAAAAAATTACATACAGAGCAAATAGCATATATGAAGGAAATATTTTAAAAACTGCACTCACCAAGGCATCTACCATTCTGTAGGTAGTATCCAAGCCCACACTGATTAACACACTCCCCGTGTTTCCACATTAGACCAGGCTGACACATTTCACAGTGATACTGGGTCCCACCTACACATGTGTAACATGTTTTATGACACGGTGTACATACACCAGAGGGTGATGGGTAATATCCCATTCTACACATATGTAGACAACGGCCATCTTGTGTAAACAGTTTGGTATTTGTACATTCTGTACAGTTGTCTGGTGCCGAGGGCTGGCAATCTAAACACTCCGGACTACACATAACTGTAATGTGCAAAATGTTATATGTAATGGTATGAAAAAAGACTGGCTTACTTACAATCCTAAGTTTCATGATGTACAGAAAATCCCTTTTGACATAAAAATGACATAAATTCATGAAACTAAAGGGATATATATTCAAAAATAATCTCATTTTCTATTAAAAATATTTACAAAATCAAAAGATAATCTATAAAGTGAAGATAAACATTTATCAAAATAAACAATATTTCTTCAATGTGTCAGCAGACAACCAGAATGAGCATGTAAAGTTTCCTTAGATATAATAAGAATTTAAGTTGCTCTTGTGTTTAAATTTGAAAAAAAATCTTTAAAATATATTTCAAGATGTTTTTGTCAAAAGCAAGTGACAATCCTCACCATACTAAACTATTAAAAACATGATCTTGTAAATTTTAAAAAGGCCAACCTTTCTGGCAGGTACCACAGCACTCCCCCGGTTCAGCTATAGATCTAGTCCCTGCAGGACAAGCTGGACAATGTTGAGTATAACATTTAGGTTTCCCTGAGTCACAGAAACATACTCTACAATCATCTGTCATCCATCTCTCTCCATCCTGAAATATCATGCTATATTTAACTTATTCTCCTACATTTTTCCTTTCTATACTATATTAATTTTGTGACATTAATAAATGTCAACTAGAAATCAAAACATTGTAGCATATACAGTCCTCAAAATGCTGTTTATGCTGTATTTCTAAAACAAGAGACATTGTTTAAATTGTCAAATTCTGAGATATTGTTTACAAAACCACTGAAGATATTGCCAATACACAAAACCAATTTTAATGTGTGTTGTGGACCAGCATTGGGTTTTTTTAAAGAACCAACTTTGCCGCAACGTCCGTGTTTTCTGGATCAGTGATCATTTGCTTGTTCAGACTATCATTTCCTCCCCCCTTGTTAGCAGCGATTTGGGGTAAAAGCGAAAAACAAGCAAATGGATCCTGATCAGACTGCGGGATGCGCAAGCTGGTCTGGATCCATGCTGGTCACAAACCCATTATGTTGGTTTTGTCAAGACGCAGCTCATTTTGTTTCTTAGACTCCCACCACCAGGGTTCATAGTGAAATTCTAAAAGGTTACTTCTAGGTAGTATTACATTGACAAGTGGCAAGGGGGTAAGAAATAAGATAAAAAGATTCCAGCAAGACTTACAGTGTAAACTTGACCAGCAAATTCACAAGATGGAGGGATGATACATTGAGGACAACATGTATCTGGAAGGTGGACCAGCACTTCTTCCTACAATATATGACACAATGATATATATATTTCACTTTGTTACATTATATAAATACAATCTGTTCAATATAAACAAACACTTTTCCTAGCCTTGACATTTAGTCTTCTTCTGAAAAGAAGTTCAAAGTTAAAGAAAATTATCTCACTAGTTTAAATTTTCCTTCTTTGCCTTTGTAAAATATTGTACTTTACCTGAAAATGTCTTTAATATAGCATTTTCCACAAACAATATTTTCACACTGCATTTTCAGAATATTTTAAAGCAGAAAATATTCTAAAACAGACTTTGCTCTACTTTTATAGACAATATATTCACATTACCTTAAAGCAGGCAATATTTTCACATTGCATTTCTACATACCCCTAAACTCAGGCAATATTTTCACATTGCATTTTCACATAGCTCTAAACTCAATTAATATTTTCACATTGCAATTTTCACATTACATTAAAGCAGACAATATTTTCACATTACCTTGAAGCAGTCAATATTTTCACAATACCTAAAACTCTGACAATACTTTTACATTACCTTAAAGCAGACAATATTTTCACAGATAGCAGTATGGCATTGCACTTCCCCATCATTACAAATGCAGTAATCACATGTCGATGTGTTCCAAATGTCGCCACTAAATCGTATTGGTTCCTCATCACTACATACACCAGATTTTGGCACACATTCCGGACAACACTCACCAGGTCGTGTCACTCTCTCCTCACCCTGAAACAATAATCCAATATTTTAACACATCTGCGGATGTTTTTTAATTCAAAATTTCACATTTACGTGTTTAAATGTTGAATTCCACTAGCAATTTTTTGAGTACTGTCCTTAAACTGAGCCTGCAACATTTACAATTTTGTCTTTTTGAGCGTTCTATAGGGATTCAGTTTTTTTTTCTATTTAAGAATATCTTCTTGCACCATTGAATAAATTACCTAACTATAAACTTAAATTTTGTGGAATAACTGAGCTTGAAATTTCATGTAAAATTTCAGAGCTCAGTGTTATTTACAGTTTCAAGTCAAAATTAACTAATGTCAATGGTTCAACTTGAACAGTTGTGAGAGTAATTTAAAATATTATCTTTTTGACTGACTAAGAAATAATGTCATTGATTTTTCAAAACTCAGATCATAAATGCCTATGCCTGTTTGATAAAACAACTGAATACAAATGTAGTTCAGATGCAGAAGAGGCCAAATATAATATAAATAGCAATACAAACATTGAAATAACAATACTGACTCAAAATGCATCAACCAGACTCTGTTTAACAATTCAGACTATAAAACTTGACCAATCAGATCTTGTTTCTCATTCCTGATTCTAAACTGACCAATGAGATCTCGTTTCTCATTCCTGATTCTAAACTGACCAATCACATCTTGTTTCTCATTCCTGATTCTAAACGGACCAATCAGATAATATTGCCTTACAGTTTTATTTATAATCTTAGTTCTATCTAATCTGGTTCTTACGTTACATCAAATGTTTCATCAAATCATTTGTTAATTAAAAATAGCTTCATTAACAAGAAAATTTCCCCCAATTAGAAGCCATAGGACGTTTCAGTTCTTTGATTCTGATATGGGTTTTGTTTTTTTAATGAACATATAACTTTGAACACATAAACAACAAACGAATTCTGTCTGCTGCATCATTGTTACAATTGTATTTTTTGTGTCTCTGCCGAACATATACCTCACATGTTATACAGTAAGAGACAGCAAATATAATCTTCTAATGATAATACCCTGTAATAAAATCTTTTTGATTTATTATTCTAATCTCAAATTATCCATTTACAAATCCATTTACAATGACATATGCTGTCTTCAGGATAAGTACAGCAATTTTGTGATATATGACAAAAACATCCAAGATATCAAAGCATATTTTCCGACAAAAAATATTTCTTTCAATTTGGTAATTTATTATTTTTTTCTGTCAAGTCATCGTTTGAGGATCTATATCATATAGTTATCTGTCCGACTTTGACATGTTAAATTAGTATAAATGAGTCTCTGCAGCTAATCTGCTTCTTTCCTACAGAAGTAAATTGGATAAATTACGGTTAATAGTACAAGATATGAAATGAACGTCTGCACAAAATATAGTAAATGTAAATTTCGGTACAAACCAGTTATAGGTGTAACGATAAGATTTAACCGCAAAATATTTTTATGACAACTCAATGTCAGATAATTTCATCATCAAAATATTACAAAATTTACCTAATCAAATTAGTTACATCCTCATGTGCATTTTACTTTTTTATGAAATTTTATGTAAATACTTTCTCAATATTATTTAACGTAATTACGAATTAGTAAATTAGTCAATTTTATTGAACCTAGCCTGATCTATTACCTAGGTATTAAAAATGAAAGTTATGTAAAATTCCAATAAATTAAACATGCAATAAATTATTTATCCTATAAATTAAAGGGGTTATAAATCATGAAAAAAATATATATATTAACTTATTAAGACATAAAAATGGATATTTATTATTTTTTACTGGTATGAACTAGCTTAACACATACTCATTTTATTATAATAAATACTCCCCCACAATATATTGTATGACAATTGAAGTACATGTACATACTAAACAAGAGCTGTTGGTAGGACAGCGTGGCTGACTATTTTCTTTGCTTTATAGTAAAACAACAGTATAGATAATGTAAAATTTTCTAGGTTCAAAAAGGGCTATAATTCTGTCAAAATCCAATTAAGAGTTACAGGCCTTGAGCAGTGACTTCCTTTTATGCTCTTAAATTCAGTAAGTGACTTTCAACCCATTTCTTTCAGTAGTTCTGGAGAAACCAAAGAGCACCCAAACACTTAACCAAAGCGTGACACCAACTAAGACACCGATGCCTTGGTAAGTACAATAGGTCATCTTTCTCTTCTAATAGTTGAGCTTAAAACGTTGTGCACTCAGGAATCTTTCAATATCTAAACAAGCAGTTTTTAAAATATTTTAATATAATTTACATACAGAGTATCGTTTTTACAAAAAGTTTACTTACCCCATTACATATTGTAGGGCCAATACATTCCCTTCTTGTACAAACAACTGTACCACCAATACAAACACACAGTGTACATGGATTCCTGTTCCATTGTTCACCAGTCTGAAATGATTCAACATTGTATAATAATATTGTAGCAGTCTGTTTTAAAAGACATGACTAAAAACGCATAAATCAACATCAAATTTTTTTACAGTTTTGACAGGAGTAAAAAATTTTGTATTGCAAAAAGTCGCTAAAGCTTTTATGAGTTGTATCTTAATGTCAAATTTGTCAGGAAAATTTGTATTTAAAAATAAAATACCACAACACCTATATCAATACAGTAAAAGTAACTTGTCTAAAAATGTAACTGTACATTGTATAAGGCCTAGCAGGTAAAAGTGCTGGATTTATTTTGTGCCTAAAATAGTAAGGTTCATTGTCACTACTATTCCCCTCAATGGTCACATTTGACTAGTGCATAAAGCTCATAATTCTACTATTTGAAACTTGTTATTAACAAAGGGCTTTGATAATGAAATACTAAAATTTAGACAAGTCAACAGTATGTAGCCCAGTCAGATTATGTAAATGTACATGCTGGTCTCGTTCAACTCTGATGACATTAACAAATTATTATTTCTGCTAGTGTTTAAAATAGAGGATATTGAATGAGTATAAGTTCATCACTGAATTTATTGAACAAGTAGAAAAAATGATATTATGTAAGCCTCTGGCAAGCATAATATTATTTTATTCAACGAGTTCAATAAATTCAGTAATGAACGTACATGACTATATTATTCGATTTATCACAGACCCAAAATAAAGAGTGTTTAAAGAGTAAAAGAACCTTTTGTTATCAATGCGCCTATTGTGTAACACAAAGATTTTTGTTTGTATAACCCAAATGACGTCACATCAAAATATATAATGAACGGCCCTGAAATAGCATTTTTAAGGAGTTGCAAAAGGGGCTTGGGTATGTGAGAAATGTATTTTAATGATAGTTATATACCTTGTATTCTTTGTTGTCTTCTCTACATGTAGCATTCAGACTGTGGCAAACAGGACAACATGATCCAGGAACTGTCTCCAGTACTGCATTCTGGGAAGGAGAAAACAAGATACATATGATGCTGATATTTACATATAAGCAAACAGAAGAAACAATTATTGAAACAGAAACCAGTCTTATCAAGGATTTGTCTCCAGTACTTCATTCTGAAAAGTGACCATGAGCCAATAAAACAGTTACTGGATGCTGATGCTAAGGATCAACTTAACATTAATCAGCCTGCATAGCTCCATTGGTTAGAGTGCAAGTTTTGTAGTCTCAACATTGTGGGTTTGATTCCCAGGCTGGCAAACTAAAATTGCTAATCAGTCTTTCGGATGAGACTTTAAATCAAGGTCCCATGTATAGGTGCCTAAACAATTGGGACCTTAAAAAACCCAGAGAAGCTTCTGGAATTGGGGCATCTTTCTGTATCTGTAACTTGTACTATCCTCGAACATACTGGAGGACTCGCCCACACTGAGGATAGATAGAACTAGCATCCCCTGAATTACTAATCTGATGCTCTCCCTATTGAGCTAAGCTGATAGACACATGACTACTGTAACTTCAGCAACCAGAAAGATGTCTGATGATGGACACTGAATTCTTACATGCCAACAAGCTATAATAAAGCTAGCGAATAAAATTCAGTAATTCTAAAGAAATACCAACACATATTTGGAAAGTCGCAATATCACAACATGAGTGTTGGTGACTTAAAACTGAGCCAATCAAAACACTGATAAAAGTAGTAAGAATAACATAAATATAACTAACCTCAGCACAAACTATTGGTGGACAATCAACAGGATAGCAGGAATGTTGGCCGTCTGTACAGACACATTTAGTACATGGTAAAATCTCCCAGTCTGAACCATCTGGATATTGTTCCCCATCATACATGCATGGCCCTGAAAATACACCATACTTTTTCCATTTACATCATCTTGAATGATTATTATTTCATTTTCATTCAACTTTGCATGGCCCTGAAAGAACACCATACATTCTACAATTTACATCACCGTGAATGTCAACTATATCTGTGTTTGTTCATCTTTGCATGACCCTGAAAGCACACCATACTTTCTCAAAATAGAAAAATTCTGAATTGCTCTAAAAATGTACAAAACTAATTTATATCAGATTCTGCACCACTCTAAACATTTCCCACACTTATTTTCAATTACCTGCAAAATTGCATGAGTACTACTTGCAGGGTGTTGGAGCTATGCCATACTTATTTCATTAAATTCTGAATGGCCCTTAAATACTACCATGCTTATTTAATCAAAACTCTGATGCCCTTAATTATATATTGCACTTATTTCCATTGAAATTTAATGGGAATAAACAAATATTCTATAGTTAAGAGATTTTTAGGGTGTCACATCATTGCACAAGAAACACAAAACTAACATTTTTCAACATATAGCCTAGGACACTAATTCTTTTACAAGGTTATAAAGCATTATGTTTTATCACTTGTATTGATATAAAATTGCAGCAAATATTTGTTTATAGGCAATCATAGAGAAATTATTATCACAATAACTCCCTACATTATAGCTGGAAGGTGGCAAAATTCTCTCAAACTATACCATTAAGTGGTGAAATATATCTCTCATAAAACTGCATATTCCACTAATAAAATAAATTACTTTTAACAGGAGGAATTATTTACAGAAATGATTATAGATGTATGTAAAGAAACATAACAGAAAGTAATTACAGTGCAACCTCTACAAAGCAAAACCCTTTGGGAGATGAAGATTTTGGCTTTGGCTGTTGCTGACAGGTGTTGTTCTAGAGAGGTTAAATATATCATGAATTGTTATTCTATAAAGAAATGATACTACTGTTGTTGTAAAAAGGTCACTGCTTTACAAAGAGGGCCACTCTACAGAGGTTGTGCTGTATTGACAACTGTAGTGAAATTTCTTTATATGAATCCTGAACAAATATGGACCACAGGCATATACCTATTATTATACTCTTATAATACAATATATAAAGAATATATGTGTCTAGCGCCTGTGATATAGACATGAAGACAAATGCATTGTGCAGGTAAATAAAAGTTTGATACCTGACAACAAGTATCATGTCATATATATATATCAAATTAATATATGCTCAGAGAAAACAGAGAAAAATAAGACTTTGTGCCCCCACTATAGGGGGCGGGCATTTAGATTTACCCATGTACATCCGTCCGTCCATCCGTTCTCTTTTTGTGTCACACATAGCTCAAAAAGTAATTGGCCTACAGTCATGAAACCTTACAGGAATGTTCATCAGCATGTGAAGTTGTGCACCTGGGTATTTTCATGTGGATATACATGTAATTAGTATTTTTAGATTTATTGCCCTTGACTTAGTAAAAATTTGCAATTTTCAACTTATGTCACACGTAACTCAAAAAATATTTGACCTACAGTCATGAAACCTTACAGGAATGTTGGTCAGCATGTGTAGTTGTGCACCTGGGTATTTTCATGTGGATGTTTATAGTATTTTTAGAGTTATTGCCCTTGACTTACTAAAAATTTTGCAATTTTCAAGTTGTGTTGCACATAACTCAAAAAATATTTGACCTACAGTCATGAAACCTTACAGGAATGTTGATCAGCATGTGTAGTTGTGCACCTGGGTATTTTTGTGTGGATATATTTAGTAATTTTAGAGTTATTGCCCTTGAATTAGTAAAAATTTCTAAATTTCAACTTGTGTTGCATGTAATTAAAAAAGTATTTTACCTACAGTCATGAAACCTTACAGGAATGTTGCTCAGCATGTGTAGTTGTTCACCTGGGTATTTTCGTGTGGATATTTTTAGTATTTTTAGAGTTATTGCCCTTGACTTAGTAAAAATTTACAATATTCAACTTGTGTTGCATGTAACTCAAAAAGTATTTGACCTGTAGGCCTGAAAGTTTACAAGAACGTTGGTCAGCATGTGTACTTATGCACCTAGGGGTTTTCTTGTGGATTTATTCAGTATTTGTAGTATTTGCCCTTTACTTAATAAAAGATTTTTAGTTTTCAACTTGGGCACATGACTGTAGCCAAAAAAAATATTTGACCTTAAGAGACATAAGATTGACAAATCGGTGGAGTGTGGGGGCACCGTGTCCTATGGACACATTTCTAGTTTTAGCCTGTATTTATTACAAAATAAACCCTTCCCACGCAGACATCATAATTTCATATCCTCCGTCATCAAAGAATTCATCAATACAAAAAATTACACTCTCTTTTTCATAAAACTTTCAAATTCAAATTTAAAATGTTTGATTTTTGGCAGATTACAAACCCTTATTACACCCATTATAAGTCTATATGGTTTTAACACCGAAAATAAATATGGGCCTAATTTTCCAGTAAAAAATTTCATTTCAACTCGTTAAATCAAAATTAAACAAATTCTTCAGGTAGCCCTACATTATCAATAATTTGTAATACAAATTGAAAACCACATAAAATTGTTTTTCATTATCTTTTATTACCCTTTGCTGTAGCAATTTTGACAGTTTTAAAGAGTATCTTATATAAATCAGAAAATAAGAAAGTGTTTATCTACCCTAACTGGCAAAAAACACAGTAATTTATCGATGCAGCTTTATTGCTAAAGCTTTAACATTTATGTTTGGTATATGAAAGTTTTCTTTGAAGTTAAACATTGATAAAGTTATCTTGTAATTTTACCCCAAAACTCCTTCTTAATAAACATACCATAGAATCTTTTCTAAAAAGCTGACCATGCACATATCAATGTAATAGTTTAATACACTGCAAGAATACATTAAAAATTTTTTGCTAAAATAGACAGACATAAAATGTCATTTATATCTAATAAAAAACTATCTTAATACTAAAGTGGTTATTTTGAGTTCACATCTTTAAAGTTTTTCTCCTGAAATTAAGTGAATGACCTTGACCTCTAAAAAATTAATATGAGATGATTTTTTTTTACTTGGCCCGACACTATACTACTGACTTCATACCACTAGTCCTATGGTATTGTGGGTTGAAATCCCACAAGGGACTTTAGCTTCTCTCATATAATGTATCTATCCAGCTAGCTTATGGAAGAAGGGTAGTCTTAGTTCTACTCAGGAGTGTTCACTCAATGCCTGCAGGAAATAATGCTTAGTGAAGCATTTTGAGTGTCATCATTTGAAACAAAATCCCTCACACAAATAATGGTCAGTTGCCAATGTAAAGTAGGAGAAGTCATTGAGACAAATTTAACATATGGTACTCTTTAAATTGCCAAGTAAGCTATAACTGTATAAATAAAACTATATTACTGGTAGGACACTTCATCTTAATGTTACACAATCATTATAAATAACATGGGCTGCACTTTATCATGTTAATCAATTTTGCAGACTTTGCGAAAAATGTGAAAATCTACAACAAAAAATCTTGAAAAAAAACAACCCAAAAAAACGGAAAAACCATCTGGGTAAATTAACCTAAATTGTCTAGAGATGTCTTTGATTTCTGATAGCTGATATTTTTTCATAATTTATTACATAAGAGTCACTCTAAACATGAGATAACACAGAAGATAAACTGCGCTGATGTTTCATATCTAATTAACTCCTTATGCACGAAATACCTGCAAAATGCATTAACTTGAGAATGAAATAAATGCTCCAGGGAGAAACAAACAGGAATAATCATTCAGAGAAAATTAATTAATCACATTTCACATTCATGTCAGATTCCACGATGTGATTTAGCTCAAGTGGATTTCACAAAAAACACAAGATGTCTTGTGTTATAACATTACATCATCAATGAGAAAACATAATCAAGTGTCTGTAGGTAGATTAAAATGATAGGTATATGTGTACAAATATAGAAGGGGCGGGATGATGGTGGATTAAGATCCTTTCAAATTGTAGCACAAACTGTGGGAATATCATTTCTTTGAATGGGAAAACACTGGATTTCATAAATACATGTTCTCCAATGTTTAAAATACCTGTTCAGTAATAACATCCATAGTAATGATTAATCTGTAAATAATATTGTTATACATAAAGCATATGCACTTAAGAGTTAAAGGGTTCAGTTGAATGTCATCAAACCACAAAACATCAAATCTGAAGAATAAAAGGTAGCCAAATACTGCACATTTTCAAAGATCTTAGTTTGCTTTTTACATATTGTCACCTCAGTGCAGTAACAGATTAACTCTTATAAAATTATATACTGAGTTAACCAATTACTGCACTAAGGTGACGATTTACTCCATGTATACACATGCCCTGACCATGCTGAACACTAAATGGTTGTTTTGAACATGTATAAATATCTGAAAATATCCAATGATTAGTTGTTCAATTTATATGAAGGCTTGTTTATATCATATTTCACGTGTAACTAAAAACTAGACAAAAAATAATGAAATATTTTCTTCGACTCCCTACTAAGTTCGAGTCTTGAATTACACAATTTCGACCAGAAATACAACCTTCGATAGACGTGTTGTAACTAAAATCTAAACATGAACTTTTCACTTTGAAATATCTAAGATATCAATACATCACAAAGTTGACACAATATATTTGTCAAAAAGTCAAAGATGTTACTCTTTAATTATAGGTGTGTATAATTTTAACGTTAATTCGCCATTTATATCAATTTACCGTGAGATTGTCAGCAATCTACCGCACAAGTACTGGAGCATCGGTTTACCGACCCAGTTACAGAGACAATCATGTGACATACGTGATTCTCCATCTCTGTTTCAATAATGAGGGGTCATTATCATTTAACTTACCCATTATATAGTAACACCATACACTGTGAAAAAAGAGCAACAAAAACATCACTTATTCTAATTACACTAATTTGTTCAAGTGAAAAATTTACAATTACCATTTAAGTCTTCAATTCATTGGGTTAAACGTTAAGTATTTTGACGTTAACTATGTTTTTGTGACAGTAACTGTGTTTATAGCCATCCAAGATTTATTTTCGACTTATCGTAACACTTAACCTTACAAAATAAGGGAAAAAGTACTCCTTAACAGCTGACAGAAAATTGTACTTAGTCATATGTCAGAGTTAACAGAACGAAAATTTAAAATTGTTCTGGCTTGCCTGTTAGTTATTATACACCAGCCAATTGTTATGCCAGCCCAACCCCTTGACCAAAATCAGCACACCCTTTTAAGAAGTAGGGACTTGGACTTTTGAATTCTCAAAACCCTGGTTTTTTAAAATGATTGCCCTGTGGAATCATATGGTATATAAAATCCTTTCTAAATCCCCTTATTGTATATTGGATATATCCCAAAATATATGTTGTATTTATCCACCAAACTGCATGTTGGACATATCCCCCACTATCTAGAACTAAAAAAAACACAGCATTGCTGGTACAGGTGGTAGGTATATACTTCATTTCACTGGCTTGGCACTGCACTGCCTTCAGGAGTTGGGGTTTCAAGTTAAAACTGACTAGTGTGTTTTATTCATATTCACCTGTACCTTAAAAATCACCTGTAACATATCTACTTCAATATCTTTTTTTATTACTTCTATCTGCAATTAAAAGGTTTTAGATACATTTAAAATAAAATTTGTTGATATATTGAATAAGTACACCTGAAATCTAGGAGTTAGATTCACTTTAAGCACATTATGATGCTATTAGCTCAAAATCATTTCAATTTTTTATGATAATAAAATAAATGAAAATTTACCATTAAATTTACTAAAACCTATTTGTAGTAAACATCATTCACCTGAGAAAGGACAGTTAAATAAATCACTAGTGGGGGCACCTAGTACATTACATTTACATTACTAAATATCTTGATAATGGAAATCCCAAGTACAGTCTTTAGAATACATTGTAGCTATTTTATGAAATTTCAATAAGAATTTTCTAAAATCCAGCATCCAGCCCTATAATCTGGTTTATACTGCTTAGCATTGGCTAGTCTTGGTGACGGCCTATAGTGTTAAGTTAAAACTTTGCACTAAAGTATTTTCTAATTTTACATACCAAAAATATTTCAGTCTTCATTTTGACAAAATTTATTATCTTTCTACAAAGATACTAGGGTATATTAATGCTACAATAATTAAAATATGACAATTTTATACCTAAAAACTAACAACTAAGGTATTCTAAGGTGTTCAGATAAGAAATCTGCACTACAAAATCTTTTCAATTTTTTAACCAAAAAACCGTGTACCAACATAACAGCTACAGCAAAAGAATGCAACTGACGCGAAACTATAATCCGTAACATTATAACCCAATAAAGTCTAATAACCTATCAAAAGAAAAGTAACACCCGCGATCATATTTCATAACATCGCTATAATTAATGCAATTACAACATTGTAAAATATTTATGCCCTTCTCAAAGTAGTACTACAGAACAATGATTCTTTTACTGATAAACTAATAGCCCATTTTTGCCACGGAATCTTCAAAAAAATCTTTTTATCACATAGTCAACATTAAAATATCTATGAGATCATATTTTGTTATTTTTTTGACAAGTTACTATTTAGTTCATTTAGATATTTACCTTCTATCGCAAGAATGCTTTGACGAGTGCACGGGGCGTATAGGGCGTGAACATTAAAATCTCAATGGTTTCAAATACATGCCACTTTGCGATACAAAGCTTGTACAAGACAAATTTACTCCGATTCGTGAACAAAAACAAAAGGTACACCAAATGGACACTGCTCAAGATAAAACAAAATATTCAAATGTCGTGAAAGCTGATAGGACAGTTCGATTATCTATTGTATCATTCCCTTTGACACAATTATTTACACTAAACCAGCTGTCAAAAGGTTCCACTTGTATGAAATCTTTTTGAAATGTCCGTCATAACTGTCCAACAATCATTTATACAAGTTCAAAGGTCTTCAATTTACTTATCACTGGAAGCACCTTTGCTTTTGTTTTAAATAACCGGATTATAACCCACTTGCCATTTTCACCTATTTTCCTACTCTATGACCATAAATTTGGCAATAACAAGGTGGAGGGCAAACAATTGACTTTCACACTTGTCTTTGCCACTTTCTTTATCACAGTCTATTGGTCTGTAATTTTGGGACCTCCGGGTGAGATTAATTACAATCTTCAAAGATTATAAAAATTCTTGTAATAATAATAATATGATTGACAATTTTTATTATCATAATCTAAGATTTTATTGACTATGCTCAATAGCCTTATTCCTATATACTTCGATTTCAAGTGCACCGCAAAAATTTTATCGTCCCAAAGTTAAATGCATGATTATTTATCATAGCTGAACATGAATTTTAATTACAATTTCATATGTTAAAGATTTTATAGCAATTAATTAACAGTACCTGTTGCAATCTTAAGGATCTTAAGGAAATCATTTTACCATCAACAACTTCCTGAAATTGTTCACGACTGAATACTTAAGATATTTATAAAGAAAATAACAATCACATGCATGCCAAATCTTTAAAACATTATTTTCATATGTTTGAAATGCGGAATTTCTTAGCCTGCCCATACCACCAGTGCAGACCAAGTGCAGCCTGCACATATGTGCCATCCGATCCTGGTGTGCACTGTTGGCTAATCAGTCTGTAATTATTTTGGAATTTTCCTTAAAAATAATGAATGGTTTTGTCCTAATTAAAAGATGGACAAGTCCATTTAATATATTAAGTGTGGTCAGGGTTAAATAACAATTACTTGCAGTATAATACAAAACAAAGACATCACATTTTTGCTTTATGTTTTGCTTAAAATTTCTATTTCATAAATAATAAATACTTTTGTAATTCTTAACAAGTTTACCATTGTCTTCAACGTTTCGTTAAACCCTGTAAAATACTTTTAAGTGCACAGCAAAAAGTCAGGGCCGGTTAAAAAAAATGGATACATAATGCATTAAACAATAATGTTATAATACGTGTTCTAACATACTAACACAAATAGATCACGTCTGAATTAATGAGTTAGTCTATGGGTGGCCATAATGCTTGATTGAAGACATAACATATATGAAACAATGTTGTAGAAAATTGATAATTTTGATGATGTTAAATGTCATGTACATCATGATGGGACGCTGGTTTTTATACAATCATATTCATGATTTATGATGAATTTTTGTCATTAATTGAACAATCAAGGTGTCAAAGTGAGGCAACAGGTGTTAAATAAAGCAGAGATCAATGACATGAGATGACTTTACTCTGAACTTTGTTCACTTTCATTAACAGGTGAACATGGTCACCAGCAAATACCTATGTCATAAACTAAATTTATCAGAAATTTACATCCCTTTTAATGGTTATCTAAGTTTATATAGATTGGAGCAACTAGTTGTATTTCAATCATCACCAAAACATTTGAAAATACATGTATCAGTATAATATCTACTACAGGCAATGAATGTAACTGTATAGATTGGCAAAGCCATGCCAATGCAATTTGGCATTGCTGTCTGTTAGAGTTAACTCTAAGCCTGCTGGTATTGACAGACTGAATCTACCCATGCCTCCAGTGCAGACCAAGATCAGCTGGCATGTCAGTGCTATATAATCATGGTCTACACTGTTTGCTTTCCACTGAGTTTATATTATCCCTACAAATGATAAATGGTTTTGTCCAGATGTAAAGATAAGGTACAGTATTTAAGTCAGGTAAGTGTTAAATAAGGATATATTTAATTCATAGTGTCCATTTGTTGTCTTTTGGCTTAAAATTAAATTTTATCACTCACCCATGCCGATTAATAGAATATTAAATTTGTGTAAGTTCATTACTGAATTTATTGCACTCGTTGAATAAAATAATATTATGCTCGCCAGAGGCTCACATAATATAATTTTATTCAACTCGTGCATTTAATTCATTCAATATCCTCTATTTCTTGAACATTTCAAATTTTCCAATAATTTCCATTTTTATGGAATCATAATTTATACTCACTGCCAGCAGGAATGCATTGTGGGCAACATTGTCCCGGTAGGTTTTGGATAATCTCCCCTGGTTTACACGTTTTTGAAGGACATGGTAATTTGGCACAATCGACCTCCCCGTCATCACACCGACAGCTTACGCATGGCTCAGGATTCCACTCGGTATTATGCTGCAGTTATATAATAATACATGACAACTGACATGACAACAGCTCTGTGATATACAGACATACAGTAAAACCTGTGTGAAATAACCCCCTCTTAATGTATACATCAATTAGAGGCACCGTCCCTAAATGACAAACTCTGTAATGTCTTTTCATTCTTGAATTGATATGATTTGTCAAAAAGGCATGACAGAGTTTCATCTCTCTTTATTTTAAATCAGTTGCCCATTATTCATTACAGTAACAGTGTTTAGTAATTTTGAAATATAGCAAAGATTGTCCCATAAAAATATAGGGAAATTTGAAATACTCCTGATTTTAGGGACATTAAAGTATTGAATATATTTACAAAAACTGTATAACTTGAATTTAATAACACTGCTATGTAAGAAATGCATGTATACGGGAACACTTTTTGTGTGATCTTCAATGGGTAATTCTACATAATCCTACATACTGTGAAAAAAGCAATCATTCTCCCATCGTATAGTATATTCAAGTTCCTTCCACCCATTTAAAAAAAATGGCAAAATCTAATATAATATGGACATATATATAAAGAGATGGATGTAATACCTTAAAATAAAACATTATGATTATTACTTACAGGTATATTTTGTTGTTGATATGTACATGAGGCTAGTTTAGGTTCACATTCAGGACAACAGCTGTCAGCTGATATCTCCAGGTACTCTCCCTGAAAAAAAAAGTTTAAAATATCACCAATAACTTCTGATTGCAGCCCTAAAGGGGATTTTTTACACATAAATGTAGTAGGGATACAGCAGCTGTTAATACAATTTAAATCAAAAATCTGTAACAAAAATTAAAATGATTTTATAAAAAAATAATGATTATGATATTATTGTCTTATATTGCTGTGCAGTAAGTTCAAAACATTAAAATTTGTAGTGGCCACCTGGCCATATTGATCCACCACATTAACTATATATGAGCCATTTTGCCACCAGCCACTGCAAGTTCAATCTTCAAGTGGCTAAAATAGTTGACTTACAACATTTAATATTTATACACCTGAACATTAATATATTTTTTAATATAACAGATAACTATATAAAGTTATGATTTAGATAACAACATGCCCTAGTCCATTCTCTGTAGCCGGAGAAAGATGAAAGGGAGATAATTTGACGCTGAATATAGAATTCAAGAATTATGGTACTTTCCCTATCAAAAAGACAGGCTATGAACATGTGTTTAAGAGAACGGTATCATCAATTTTACCTTGTCATAGTCACACTGTGGATCTGTACATCTGATTGTTTCACACAGTACAATAGGATCCTCACAGGTACACACCGTACAAGGTCCTGGCTGCCACACTGTGTGTTTCTGAAAATACACAATAACAGAACTCATAAATAATTGTCAAAACCAAATATTTTACATATTTTGCTCCTGAAAACAATGGCATGCACTTGGTAGGTCAATAAACAGCATATTTTTCTTTTCTTGGTACTTCATAATTATTCACCAGTCAATCTTACCTAACGCCAGTATCTGTGAATCTTCCTCGAAGAGATACATTATACAGTATAAAGCTATATCTTATAAAATGCTTTTTATAAAACTTATCAACAGCAAAATTTCATAATCTAATGGTGGAAATCTAGTACCATATTTATTTCAAGCAAACATTTTGGAAGTATTCTTTTTTCCAAAAATTGAAACAATAATTTATGCAGCAGATATATATTGTATATATATAGCTTTATACACTTAAATATATTAGATGTTCACTATTAGACTATGCTGGGTTGATTTAATACATTTGATACTCACTTGTACCAAAATTAAAAGCAGGGCAAATATAACACAACAAGTCAATGAGAAAAAAGGTTGTTGACCTAAAACACTTGTAATAGAAAAGATGCAGACACCAAATTATCTTGTAACAATTAAGAAATGCAAATAGTTATCAGGGGCGTTTAAAATTACTCCACACTTAGTCATCTTAAAAAGAGTAAAGTATCACAAATTACATAAGTCATGTGACATAGATAAATAAATGCCAAAGATAAAAAAACTGTTACTATCTATGTTGACAAGGTATTAGTACAACCTGGCACTACATTTATATTTTTTTGCAATTTTCAAATTTTATTTTTTTCCGCCACAGTTTTGTTTGCCAGTATCTAAATAATCTAAATAATCTTGATACAGGGCGACACCATGCAAAAAGCTATAAATCATATTAGATATTACACATTATCATGATGTGCAAATTGAATAGACAAACTATTTTATGAAATAAAGTTATGATAGATATAAAAATATGACCAGGTGTTTATGACAATTAGATCAGCCTTAAAAAATGTCTTAAAATATTTTGATAGCAGGTCAGTATAACAAAACCTTCAGGCACGGTGCCAGGCCTGGAGACATTAAAGCAACTATCTCACAGATAGGTAGAATAATTACAACATTATAAGTCAGATATGTTTGTTTGTTTGATTGGGTTTTACGTCACACCAACACAGTATAGATCATTTGGCGACGTTCCAGCTTTACTGGTTGAGGAAGACCTTAGGTGCCTTTCCGTGCATTATTTCAGGCATAAACGGGCAACTAAGTAGAACCAGTAGAATTTTTTTTAAAGTGTGACATCATAGTTAATAGCTATATAATATGTACTTTAATAGTGTTTTTTATTTTACTATTATAATAGCTTTGAAAAAGTAGTTCTTCATGTGAGGATACCAGGTTATGAAAAGTTTATGGTGCTGCTCTGTTGTACCGGTTCTGACTGAAATTATGCTCTGAGGATCATGTCCAAAGTTTTCCTCAGCACCAGTTTAGCTAGAAAATCATCCTTTGATTTTTACAGTGATTGTTTGACATAACCACAAAACATCTAAATATTCTTACAATTTCATTAAATTTCAAGCGAGAAATTAGAACTGTGAACAAGTGTAATTGATTAGCCCTACATTTATTGAAGAAGGAACTGTTCATTTTTTTTTACAAGGGTTTTATATCATAATGCTAGTATTTGAAGCCAACAGTCTAGCTTAAGAGTCTGGTCAGACTTTAAGGAATTTGGCAGGCCTAAATCTTACAAAACTGGAGATTCATAGCATTAAATAATTGTGAAATGAAATCATCTTGTCAAATCTATGCCATCTGCTATGACAACAACCTTCATGGCATTAAAACTGGCAATGATAGGGTTCAGCATTTTTAATTCCATATCAAATTAACAAAAAGTGCAAAATATTTCAAAACATGAACATTTTTGATGCATATAAAACTTTATTCACAATTTTTTTTACAAGCCCCATAAAAATCAAGAAACTGAATAAACCATATTAAAAAAATTATCTTGAATTTTTTGTATTTTCCTGACTAAAAATATATTTATCAGATACTTCCTTACCAGTTTATTATGTGACAAAGTTTATAAAGATTTCAATTTTATTGAATTCTTTTCTTGAATGAATATTTTATAGTTTCCTTAAAAAAAGATGCTAATAAAAGACCTAACAAATATTTTTCATTATATTTTCTATTACCATCTGTGAAAGTTTCTCTTTTTCTTGGTGTTTTTTTTTTCGTATTTTACTTATTTATTTTTTTGCTGACATAAAGAAAAGTGCAGTTTAGAGGTCTGACCCTTTTCTAAACCCCTGATTAGGTTTGAATAGTTTTTATTACCGTTACATAACTTTACCTCTTCAACCGCTTTTTTTTATCATATAGGAGTAATAATTTTACTGTGAGTAATTCCATCTGGTAAAAATTCTCTTAAACTTTTTTTAAATAAATTTCAAATATAAAGAATGTAATGATGATGTACTCACATCACTATAAAATGTGGTTTTATTTAAACCAAAATTTTTGCACACTCAGCAAAAAAAAAGAAAAAGACACTGTTTCATGCTTAAGGTATGCATTACTCCCCACATCTGGTATATAACTTTTTTGTGACACTGTCCTGATCTACAACTATGTTATTTGTCACTATAGATTCTCAGATTTCTAAAAGAGCAGCAAAAAAACCCTTAATATTCAACTAATAAATGCTGGTGACTTGTGACTCACACTTTACTAATGACCTCCGAAAGGGTTATCTGATGTACTGTGCAACAAAAATATTTGGAAAAAAAAAAAAAAAACTAGAAATGTGTCATCATGCCACGGATGCCCCCGCATGCAGCCAAAATTTCAGATGTTATTATATTTAGTTCCAAATTTGTTTGCACAAATTATTGTTTTCATTTTAAGTTCAAAGCCCTTAAAACTTTTCAATGTTAACACAAACCATTTTCATACAATGTTCAAAGCACTGAAATTATTCAGTCTTAACCTTTTGAAAATAGCATATTTCATATTTGTAGCCAAAATAATGGCTACATACATTTCCACAAAAGTATGAGTGCTGAATCTGAAAGTTCAAAATTTTTTCCAATATTCAAGAAAGATAAGTTTGTCCAAAATCATTGAACCACAACCAAATTCAAACTTAAACTGCCTATTCCTAAGATGTATCTATATTATTTTCGAAGTGAAAGGGACATAACTCTGCCAAAAAATCATCGAACCATGACCAAATTCCAACTTGACCTGCCCATTCATTTGACATATCCATATGTCAAATTTTAGTTGAATATGTAACACTGTTGGGTAGATAATGAACAGAAACTGTAAATTTCATATTTTTTTCGGAGTGAAAAGGGCATTACTCTGCCAAAAATTATTGAACCATGACCAAATTCGAACTTGACCTTGGCATTCCAAAAAAATATCCATATGTCAAATTTGAGTTGAATGTGTTGTACTGTTGGGGAGATAATAAACAGAAACTGAAAATTTCATATTATTTTCAAAGTAAAAGGAGCATAAAAACTCTGCCAAAATCATCGAACCATGACCAAATTCAAACTTGACCTGTATTTTCTCATGACATATCCATATGTCAAATTTGAGTTGAATGTGTTGTACCGTTGGGGAGATAATGAACGGAAACTGAAAATTTCATATTATTTTCAAAGTAAAAGGGGCATAACTCTGCCAAAAATCATCGAATCATGACCAAATTCGAACTTGACCTGTATTTTCTCATGACATATCCATATGTCAAATTTGAGTTGAATGTGTTGTACGGTTGGGGAGATAATAAACGGAACCTGAAAATTTCATATTATTTTCAAAGTAAAAGGGGCATAACTCTGCCAAAAATCGTTGAACCATGACCAAATTCGAACTTGACCTGTATTTTCTCATGACATATCCATATGTCAAATTTGAGTTGAATGTGTTGTACCATTGGGGAGATAATGAACGGAAACTGAAAATTTCATATTATTTTCAAAGTAAAAGGGGCATAACTCTGCCAAAAATCATCGAATCATGACCAAATTCGAACTTGACCTGTATTTTCTCATGACATATCCATATGTCAAATTTGAGTTGAATGTGTTGTATGGTTGGGGAGATAATAAACAGAACCTGAAAATTTCATATTATTTTCAAAGTAAAAGGGGCATAACTCTGCCAAAAATCGTTGAACCATGACCAAATTCGAACTTGACCTGTATTTTCTCATGACATATCCATATGTCAAATTTGAGTTGAATGTGTTGTACCGTTGGGGAGATAATGAACGGAAACTGAAAATTTCATATTATTTTCAAAGTAAAAGGGGCATAACTCTGCCAAAAATCATCGAACCATGACCAAATTCGAACTTGACCTGTATTTTCTCATGACATATCCATATGTCAAATTTGAGTTGAATATGTGCAACGGTTACTAAGATAATGAACGGAAACTGATGATGACGGAATGACAGAATGACGGAAGGACGGAATGACGGAAGGACGGAATGACGGAAGGACGGAAGGACGGAATGACGGAAGGACGGAATAGGGTAACACTATATGCCCCGGCCATTACATGGCGGGGGCATAATTATAAAAATTCCATCTGGAGACCCTGTTATCTAAATATCAACAACAACTAGGGAGACATCATTAAAATGCTGTTGGAAAGTAAAAGCACTTTCAAATTACAAAACCTGTAAAGGTGTCAAAAATTTAAAATATATGGAAGAAAATATATCAGGGTCCAACAAAGATTGTTATTTACCCCTATAAGTTCCTATAGTGCCCCTGTAACCTGGTAAATTTTAAAAGTGGGACTTTTATTTGCGCGTATTTATGACAGGTAATAAAATAGAAAAAAACAAATCAAGCCTTTGATTACTGTCTTTGTACTCGTTTTTTACAGACCTCAACTCAAGTACCTAGACACCCTGAAAACACCCTGAACTTAACTTTTTGATAAATTACAATTTAATATACCCCTATCATATGATATATCTACAGTGATTG